GAAGCCTGAGATGGAAACTTTCTACAATAAAACCAAAGACAGAGCAGATGTTGTTGATGTCACTCGAAACACAAAACATTGGTCAATGGTTGTATTTTACTCAATCCTAAATATGTGTGGCACAGTTTGGTAGTTTATGAAGAAACTAGTTATGGAGAAATTTTCTTAGAGGATTAGAACTGGAACTCATAAGAGATGATTTACAGCACAGGAAAAAAACTATGCAAAAAAATGTGGTCCACATTACTGAGGTGACAGGAACAGGCAGGTGCACCATCCCAAAGACCTACTACAAGAACAGGAAAACCAATAAAAATGTCAACTGTGCCCTACAGAAAAGAATAAAAAAACAAAATATACATGCTATCAGTGTAAGCAATACTTATTATTGAATATGTAATTTTCATGTGTGAAGACTGCATGTAACAATTGAAAGATTTTTTGGGACTGGGGATATAGCTCAGTGGCATAAGTATCTGCCTGACAAAATGTAAGGTCATGAGTTCGATCTCTAGGATAAAAAAAGAAGAAGAAGAAAAAGAAAGATTTTTCTTATAGCGTTCTATCATTATTTTCATTGTAGTTCACATAGGTTTTCTATTTCTAATGTTATGTCTCAGGTTTTGTAAGCTAGTAAACAGCTGACATGAAAATGTTGATGTCTATTCTAAGAATTCACTACACATTTGATATTTTATTGATGTCTTCTTTGCCTGCGATGTGCATGTTTTGACTGCTTTTCTCTCATTGCTGAGACAAAATACCCAATACCCAAGGTTAATGAGAAAAGGTTTGTTTAGCACATAGTTTGTGGAGGTGTCAGCCCATACTTGGCTGGCTCCAAAGGCAGAGTAGTACATAGGTCAGGGCAACAATTCACTGCAGCAGAAGACAGAAAAAGCAACAAGAGCAAAAAGGGAGGCGCACAGACAAAAGACTCTTTCTGTCCCTTATATTGTTATGTATGCCACATGCACTTGGGTATAGCACTCACATCCTAATCCCTGCATTGGACCATGAATCAATCATAAACTCCAAAAGCCTGCCCTCCATGACCACATGAAGCTTGGGGGGGCCATCCAGACACAAACTATAATGGTGTGTGTCATATAATATAATAGGGTGCTCCTCACAAAACAGGAAAAGAAGAGAGGCAACAAGAATGGCCTGGCACATAAGGGAGAACAGATAAGCACATGTGTTGTCTGAGATATATGCACAGAACATGTAGTTGTTATGTATGAAGATTGTCTTAGTTATGACAGTTGAAGCAAAGATTCTTTCTGTGGTAGATTTTTATTTGTGTTTATATTGCAGCTTATATATGTTTTTATTTCTAATGTTATCTCTTAGGTTTTGTAAGCAAGCACAGAGCTAAGTGAAATGTTGGTGTCTATTCTAAGCATTCATTATACATTTGATATTTTATTTCACTGACATCTTATTTTCTTTTTATGTGTGATAACTGAAGTAAAGACTGCACAGTGCTACTGGTATTTTCATTGTAGTTTATATAGGAATTTATTTCTCATATTATCTTTTAGGTTTTATAAGCAAGTACGAAGCTGATGCAAAATACTGATGTTTATTCTAAACATGCAATACATATTAAGAAGTTCGTACTTTTTTATGTTCCTGTTAACCATACATTGCATAACATAATAAGAACCTCCTGATAGAATAACAACCAGTCAAAAAAGGCCAGGAAAGCAATACATGTGACTGTCAACATACTTGTGTATGGAATAATATTTAGGTATGGAACCTGTTGTGTGTATGGAACACAATCTGCTGTTGTATGCATTCCTGTGGTGCCGTCATGTATGAAGACTGCCTTAGGTATGATAATTGAAGATTATGCTTTTTGTAGAGTGCTATTGCTATTTTCATTGTAGTTCATATAAGAATTTATTCCTGTTGTCATTTTTTATACCTTGTACAACAAAAATCAGTCAATGTTGAAAATTTTGATGCTTTTCTATAAGCACCCAATAAATATTAAAAATGCAATACTTTATTTTCGTACTTTTTTTTCCTGTTAAGTACTTATTGTTTACTATTATGCAATTATAAGTAACAATCCAAGAATAGAAATATTCTGAAGAACAAACATGGGTATGACAGTCCTATGGTTAATGCCATGAAATGACTAAGTGTATTAGGCTTTGAGGTAATGAATTGAAAGGAAAGCATATTCCCAAAGTCATTCCTGGAAAGTCATTCTGATTCCAAAACTAGAGCCAAAGAAAGATCCAACTCCCTCCGCCCAAAAAATCAGACCAATTTCTTCAATGAATACAGATGCAAAGATATTAGCATTCACAATAAATCATCAAAAAGATCATAAATCATGACAAAGTAGGCAGGCTTCATCCCAGGTATGCAAGGGTGGTTTAACATACGCAAATTAATAAATACAATATATTGCATAAACAGTAGCAAGACAAAAATCTCAACAGACAAAAAAGTCTCTGACAAAATCCAACATCCTTTCATGATAAAAATCCTGAAGAACACAGGTATAGAAGGTCTTATATCGATCTGATAAAAGCTGCTTATAACAAACCTACTGCCAAAAACATATTACATGAGGAAAACCTGAAAGTGCTTCCTCTCAGATCAGGAACAAGACAAAGATGTCTACTATCAACACTTCTGTTCAACATAGTACTAGAAACAGTAAGCAGAGCAATTAAGCAAGGAAGAGAAATAAAAGGGATACATACAGGAAAAGAAGAAGTCAAAATACTGTTACTTGAAGATGACATGGTGCTCTCCATAAAAGACCTCAAAAAATACACCAAAAGTCTTTTAGAATAACCAAATTCAGTAATATAGCAGGATACAAAATCAACACTCAAAAATCAATAGCATTCCTGTACATTAGCAATGAGCCCACTGAGAAAGAAATTAGGAGGAAAAATATCGTTACAAATAACAATAAGAAAAATTGAATACTTGGGAAATAATCTAAGGAATTAAAAGATCTCCATGATGAAAGCTACAATACTCTGAAAAAGGAAATCGAGCAGGACACCTGAAAATAGAAAGATATTCTGTTTTTAGTAGGCAAAACCAAAACAGTCAAAACTGTCATACTTTCAAAATTGATACAGAGATTTAATGCAATTCCAATCAGAACCCTGATACTGTCTATGGCCATATCACTCTAAATGTGCCCGATCTCGTCTGATCTCAGAAGTTAAACAGGGTTGGGTACTTGGACGGGAAAACTCTGATACCATTATTCACAGAACTAGAAAAATTTATAAGAAACAAGAAGAAATCAAGAATAGCAAAAGCAACCCTGGGTAAAAAGTGATAGGTATCACAATCCTGAACTTGAATTTATATTACAAAGCTACTATGACCAAAAAACAAAATAACAACAAAAGAAAACAAACAAAAAATCCAGCATGATACAGGCCCAAAAACAGACATGAAGACCAATGGAACAGAACAGAGGATGCAGAAACCAGCCCAGGCATGGTCAACTGTTTCACTTTTGATAAGCCAAAAATATACACTGAAGGAAAGACAGTCTTTGGGTCCTGGGAAAATTCGATATTCATGTGTAGAAGATTGAGACTAGACCTATACATCTGAATCAAAGATAAAAGTTAAAACCAAAACATTAGCCTGCTAAAAGGCAAAATAAGTAAAACTCTTAAATTAACATGCTTAGGTAACGACTTATTGAACAAAACCCCAGTTGTACAAGAAATTGTACCAGGAATCAACAAATGGGATGATACTAAGTTAAAAAGTTTCTATACAACAACAAAAACAAAACAAACAAAAACCAGACGAGTAAAAACAGATTTTTTTCTTTAAAATCTATAGAATGGGAAAAAAAATTTGCGAGTCATTCCTTAGAGGGCTAAATCAAAAAAATACATAAAGAACACAAAATTTAGACCCTTAAAATAAAAGAACAATCAAAAAGCAGACAATTGTAATGAATAGACAGTTCACACAAAAAGTACAAATGGCCAATAAATGCATGATGAAATGCTCAACACATCATGCCCCTTTAGAGAAATGCAAACAGAAACAACACAGATTCCATCCTACTCCAGAAAGAATACCCATTATCAAGAAATCAAATAATAATGAATTCGGATGAGACTACAGGAAAAAAAGAAACCCTTATATATTGTTGGTGGGAATGTAAATAATCACTTTTGGAAATTATTGTGGAGATTCCTCAAAACAGTGAAACTAGAAATTCCATTTGACCTAGTCATTCCCCTCTTCTAGGTATCTTTCAAAAATGTTGGACATCATATTATAGTGAATGCATCTCCATGCTTCAGCAGCACAATTAATACTAGCTCGATCTTGGAATTGTATGTCCATCAACAAATGAACGGATAAGCAACTGGTATTTACACACAAGTACTGTTTTCCCAAAAAGAAAGATAAACTTCAGTCATTTGTGAAACATGGATGCATCCTTCTTGAGACCATAATGTTAAGTGAAATAAACTAGATAGCCAGGTTTAGTTTTACAGTTTCTCTTAATATGAAAAACCCAAAGTTTAGATAAACAGCAAAATACAAAACAGATATTAGGAAGTAGAGAGGCAAATCTTTCCGGAAGAGGAAGTAGGACCGAGAAATGGAGGAAGATGAAGAAAAAGGGATGAAACAAGGAATTAAAATGTATCAACTCCCTATAAGGAATACAAATATTGTATACTACAAATATGTACTAATAATAAATGTTTTAAAATACATTTTTAAAAGTTGGCAATGTAGCTCAGTGCAAAGGCTTTAGGTTCAATCTATGGAACTGGGTAGAGGGGTGAGGAAGTATTGGGGAAAAAAATTCACAGGTGGTAACAACAGATTAATACTTACAATCAGTCCAAACCTTTAATAATTTGGGTTGTTTTAAGACTATTAATCTTTTCTTTCAAACTTCTATCTGGGAATTTAAGAACATAAAATATGTGAGCCAAAAACAACAACAAAAATCACTGCATCTTATAGCTTACCTGTGTTTTCCCTTGTTGCCCATAAACAATTTTTGTTGGGATGATTTTAGCTGCTGGTTGAACTGTGGAACCTATTCCTTTTGGCTGAGTTACGATCATTTTGGTGATTGGTCTTGTAGCAGTAATGATAGCTGGCTTTGCTCCTGTTGGCACTGTCTGAATAGTCTTTTCTCCCTAAATTGAAGCCAATAATTATAAGAGATTTACATTCATATAAATATAATAAAAACTATCCTTTAATTGAAAAAGCAAAGAAAAGTTTTGCCAGGATGAAAAGGACTGTGGATTATGAAGTACAATGTTTCTGAGAAATCAAAAATACTAGACTTAGTTGAAATGACATCAGAAGTCATCTGGCCAATTTTCTACCCAAAGAAGAAACTAATTTATTTCCTGATAACAATTTTTTACAAATTATCACATTTAAGAGTACTTGTTAGCTGGGCATGCAGAGGTCCGCTGGTAATCCCTGCTCCTCGAGAGGCTGAGGAAGGAAGACTGCAAATTTGAGGTCAACCTGAGCACTTCATTGAGACTCTGTCTCAAGATTTGAAAATAAAAGGGTCTCCTGGTAAAGCACTTGCCTTGTATGCACAAGGTCCTAGGTTCACTCCCCAGCACCACAAAAAGAAAAATAATAAGGTACTTATAATTCTATTTCACTAGTAAATGTAGATATTAAAAGGATAGGAAAGGTCTGGAAAAATGTAGACTAACATATAAACAATGATTGTCTCTAAGGCTTGGAATTACAGGTTTCACTCTCCATGTTTATTTTTACTTTCTACTATTCACCTATAAAATAAACTCTCCAAACTTATATATGAAATTGTATAGGTATACAGAATATCTATGTGAAAAAGTATATATAAAAGATGAATACAGCAAAGATATTAACATTCTAAGGTTATATTAAAAAAAGAAAAAAGATATTTCCCATCTTTTATTAATGTTACTAATATCATTTTAGTCCTACATAGATAGCTTAAGCCTATTAATTTTTCACCATTTTCTACATTTTCATATGCTTTATTAAGTACCATTTTCTAGTCTTTCATGTCAACATCTTTTTACTTGAATTTAACTAAATTAAATTTAAATATAATGAAATATAAATACAATAAATATATGTTATTTATTGCATAATGAATAAGAATATAATGAATATAGTATGATATAAATATAATCTAATGAAATACACTAAATTATAAAAAAAATAAGTCAGGGATTGTGGCACATATCTACAGTCTCTATTACGTGTGAAACTGAAGCAGGAAGATCACTTAACCCACACATTTGAGATCAGCTTAGGCAACAATGCAAGATCTCATCTCAGAAAATATTTTTAAAAATCATAATCCAACCATGATGGCATATGCCTGCAATCCCAGCAGTTGCGAAGCTAAGGCAGGAGGACCACTGCAAGTTTGAGACCAGCTTGGGTTACAAAGTGAGCTTGAGGCTAGCATTTCAAGACCTTGCCTCAAACAGGCAAAAAAGAAAAAATAAAATAAAATCTATACAATTAAAAAGTAAATAAAAGGATCTGAAAATTTCTTAACAGTCAAATAGAATAATCTAAATATGTGACCTTCTAAACTTAGCACCCAACAATAACAAACACTGAGATAGGATGTCTAAAGAGCACTCTGAATAAGAGCAAAATGTAGTAACAAACATCCTAAGTTTATCTATTATAAGGGAAATGAAGCATTTGTCAATTGTGTGATTACTTATTTTAATATATTCATACCCTTCAGAGGAGCATCTCTAGAAAGAGCTCTAATTCATCTGCCAACAGTCACAAGACTACAAGTGGGTATGCCCTAAATGGCTTGAATAGCCCTGTACAAGTTTCAAAGACCCCAGTGAAATCAATTAGCAAGCTTATCTTTTTCAGAAGCTCTTCTGGAAAGCTCTTCTGGCACAGGTAAACAAGTAGTGAGTATAAATGGGTGTTTCTGTGTGGTGAAAGGTCTGATATGCTGAACTGCTTATTTTAGGAACATCAGCTGTGTCACACCGATGCTCTGGTCTGTTATTTAGTGCTATGATTCACAAGTGGTTTTTAGACCTCTCTGATCACATAGAACCTTTAGTGCATGTCATCCCCTCTTATGAATCAAATATTATAAACTATAAATAATGCTAATATGGATTCTGAAAATCCCAATTCTATTCCTCACTAGAAATAATCTGTTTCTCCATATGTTGAAAAAATCTAATGCTAGACCTCTTCTAATACCACAGGATTATGATGTCCAAGAAACTTCATGAGGCCTAGTAAAATGAAACATGGCATTCCATTTTTCTAATGAAGTGAGGAAACATAAGGACATTACAAAGGCTTAACAGTTAAATACCAAAAATAATAAAACCTATGATTGAGGAGTTTTTATGTACTAGACATCGTTTTAAGCACTCTGAAAAGGGCTATCATCACCCCTAATGCAAAAATGAAGAAATAAAGGACTAGAGAGTGAATAAATCACCTAGTATCAAGCAACTATAACACTGAGACACAAAACCCAAGTTTGTCTAACTCTGAACCTTTTAACAGCTGATTTCAGAACTATAAATTCGCATACTCTTTTTTCCTAACTCATAAGAATGACCAAAAAAAAAAAAAAATAGTAAAGTGACAAAACAGACTGCCATTAATTAATATCATCTTAAAGCTGAATATTTCTCTTCACCCAACGTAAGCTAAACACTAAGCCATTATCTACTAGCCATAAGCAGGAATAAAGCTGCGCTCCAACAAAGTTCTCCTGTAGATAAGACAGTGGAATTCTTCATTTAAATCAAGCTAAGCATTTACATCATAATCACAAGTGATATAGCTTTGAGCCACTATGAATAAATTATTGTGAAAAATGGCATCAGCTGGTGTGGTCTTAAGTTATTAAATCGCAGTAAAAGTAAATAAGGTCGTTCTGACCATTGCAGCTTCTTAAGCCCTAAACAAGTATTTGTACAGCTGGTCTTTAAGGCCCCTGGTGGACAGCTGAGTCTGTAGTACAAACTCTTACTTACTCCAGCATTTAGCAATGTTGTGACAACATTTTTGCCTGGGAGCCCTTGAATGGTCGTTCCTTTTCCTGTAGTCTTTTGCACAACAATCACATTGGGCTTGGAACTCATTGGGATTGTAGTGATTTTGGTAGTTGTTCCTTAGAGAAAAGGGAATAAAAGGAGGCTTGAATTAAAGAATAATGATACTTGGTTATTTCTCGTTTATGTTGCACACAATATTCTTTAGTCAATGTCATCCTTAAATGGTATGAATGCCATCATGGGATGAAGATGAAGGCTGTAAACAGTAAACTATGACAAATATCCAGAGTAAGAAAATATTAAGAATTGACTCTTAAAGCAGTCATCTTTTTATGATCTAAGGACCTACACACCAAACTCAGAATCTAAAAACATCACTACTGTATCCACTTCCCCCTCAATATTCCTTTACTCATTAGTTAAATGAAGTAAGTCAAATTTCTATTCCATAATATGTATTTCCCTCAGCCCAAGTATTACATTTATGTGACTAGTATGATAGAATACATTTTAAAAAGTAACATTCAAGGATAATATCAAGATTCACATACCAATAGACTCTAAGAAAATTTAGGAACAAAAATAAGTGACATATTATACAATATAAAAAGACAAAGTAGTGGTGGTATATGTCTGTAATCACTCAGTAGGGGCTGAGGCAGAAGGATGGCAAGTTTGAGCAATGGGCAGAGGAGATTGGGGAGCTAGGGATGTAGTTCAGTGTGAAGGTCTTGGTTCAATCCCTAGTGCCATAAAACAAAAAATCCCAACAAAACAGTAAACACAGAAACACAAACCAAGTTACATGTACTTTGTTAACCTGCAGAACTATGGAGTGTAAGGAAGAAGCTCTGATTTATCTAATTCAATATTAAGATCTAAATTGTAGGTCTATATCTATGGGTACAAACTATATTATCTTGCCTATACTTTTCCATAATTTACTTACATTGCTATCTATCAAATCTATCTACCAATATAAAATAGACATACTTTATTCTTCTAATTGTCCAAATTGAAAATCCTGGTCCAAATGCTTTGAGCTGTATGCTAGTGTTTTAATTCACTGATTAAAAAAGAAAGGGGCCCTCCATGACTTCAGAATAATGGATTTATAGTTTTCATTATACAACAGGATTTATGTAGCTCGTTTGTTTAGCTTATTCTAGGGACAAAATAAAACTCATGTACACATCTAAGTATGACAGCATGTTACACAGTATTTGGTTCGAGGCACATCAGAGAATACAACTAAATAGTCTATGCTTTAAAAAAGCAAAATCATAATGGCCAAAATAACTGTATCACTTTTGGATCACAATGGCCTATGACTGGGATATATTCTAGGGATTTTTTCTTTTTTAAAAGAGCTATAAAAGTTGGAACATTATAGTAGGCCATCTTTAAAAAGAACAGAAATTTACTGGCTCAAATTTTACTATTCACAGATTCTTAAATCACCCTGACAATCTTGGATCTCTTGGATAATATTTTAAGCTTCTTTGCTCTAAGAAAGAGGTGATGAATGAATGAATAAGTATATAAACAATAGCTCCTTGGCTGGACATTGTGTTAAAAGATTTAGAGAATCAAAATCAAATCATGTGTTGGGCATTGCAGTACATGCCTATAATCCCACATCCAGGAGCCTGAGGCAAGAGGATCATTAATTCAAACTACATACTGAGTTCAAGGCTGGCCTGGACTACATATCAAAACCCTGTCTGAAGACAAAAAAGAAAACTCAAAATCAAGCCCAAAATCAAGATGAGTTCATCTCTGAACGGTCCAAGCTTCTGCATAAAATGAATATATTTCTTCAATCATTACTCAACATGGCTCATCAAAAAAATCTTATTAATAGTTATCTCATATATATTCAATATAAAGAAATATTTGACCGTATAATACACAGGTTAAACGACTGTAAGGATAGTCATGGTTTCTACTTAATTGCTTATTTAAAATGAAAAACACAACCTTTCTAAAAGTACTGTGGACACATGAACTTGCTTTCTAGAATATTTTACAAAGTAAAGTAAAATTTAAAAGATAACTTACGTACAAGTGTCATTAAGAAATATGATCAAAATTAAAGTGAATGAGGCTTCCAAGTGCTATCTAATAGAAAGACAGGTTTATAAAAACATGTGGAATATTCTCATCCATCTTATTTACCAGATCTGGTACTAAAGGACTTCTGGCTCTTCTCCAAAGCCAAATGAGCATGAAATGTAATTGTTTTGGATCTACTCAGGCAGCCATGACAACACAACTAAAGATATTCAAGTACATGGACATCCAAAACTGCTTCAGAAAGTGGCAAGAATTATGGGATGTGTTTAATGTGAAGGAGAATTCTTTGAGGGAGATTAATTGCAATGTGAATTTTACTGAAATAGTTTAACATTCACCATATTTTTGCTACTGTATATAATAATAGCAATTACTTTTTTTTAATTGGTATTGGGGATCAAATTCACAACTTCATGCTTGCCAGGCAGTTGCTGTGCTGCTGAGCTATATGCCCAGCCAAATAGCCATTACTTACAATGACAAAAAAAAAAATCAACTTACAACATGTAATAATGAAAAAATGAACAAATTTATGATAGATGATATGAGAATATATTATAATAGCCACTGGAGGCAGGGCATGTCAAAATACATTTAGTAGCATAAGATTATGCAAAACAAAGATAAAAAAAATTTTTTTTTTTTTGTCTTTTTCATTTTTACCGGTACTAGGATTGAACTCACGACTGCCTGCTTGCAAGGCAGGCACTTATGCCACTGAGCTAAATCCCCAGCCCCAAAAATTGTATCAATTTAATTTTTAAAACATACATCTTTATATAAATATCTACACAAGGAATACACTCAAATTTTAACACATTCTGTGGATAGTAAAGATTGCTTTTAATAGTTTTATACCTTTTTAAACTCTCCCAAAACAAAAGAGCAAGTTTGTTTTTACTTTTGGGTTTTTTTGAAAAAGGAGTTGGTACATAGTTAAGGCTGGTCTTTAACTTACTATGTAGCCCAGGCTGGTCTCGAATTCACTGCAGTTCTGTTGCCTCAGCCTATACAGTGCTGGGATTACAGGCATGTGTCACTATGCTCAGCTTCTTGTTATTAAGTCATCATTTTTATAGATAAATGTTTATTTTAGGAAACTTTCTTCTTTATTTAGAGGAAGGAAAACTCTAAAACTCACCATCTGCTCACGAATGAAGGCAGCAAACTGTCTAAATTCATTTACTCAGGTTACTATAAATAGTTTACTATAAATACAAATGGATTAAAAACTACTATATAAACTATCACGAACAATAAAAATATAAAATAAGACAACCATCTTTTTTGTGTGAAAGACAACCATCTCAACAAAGAATAGTAATGTTTAACATTAGAATTAGTTTAGCAGTCAGAAACAGGAGCACAATTTGGAATGAAAGCATCAAACGGTGAAGGAAACAAAGACACAATAATCTCCATGTAAAAAAGTTGTTTCAGCTATATCAACTACATCCTACAGTACTGAAAAACATTAAGAATTCTTCCAATGTATACCTATGGTTAGTTGAAACAGCTGGAGTACAATTTTTTCCTTACTGCTTTCACTATTCTCAGTTTGGCAAACACTGGATTTTTGCATTTAAACTTCAACCCCTTGTGTTTATAAAGTTAGAGTAATTTCAAGGGCATACAAAATACGATACCTATAAAATCATTAGTCTCAAAAATTAAAATCATAAGCCTTGCTTAATCAGAGACTATTTATATCATTTTAATTAAAAAATAATAATCAATGAAAATAGATATTGTCTAAACATTCTAGTTCAGGATCCACAACCCAAATATTTTAAGGATTAATGAGCCAATAAAAACCAGGTAAGGTTCAAATACACCAATAAAATAGGTACAAGGTTAATCATCATTATCTGAATAAATTATTTTCAAAAAACAATCATAAATGATGAAAGTCAAAGATATCCAAATATTTTTGCTTCTAATAAGCTAAAGTACATTGGTAACTGAAATTATGAAGTATATTCCTTCAACATATTTAGATGTACACATAATAGTTTTTCCATTATTCTAGCTTATGTAGCCTTAGAAAGGTCAACTCAGTATCTTTAAACTCAAATATCTCTACATTTGTGAAGTGAACACAATAACAGCTACCTTAAGAGCTAAGACGGTCTCAATGAGTTGACAAATGAACAAATATTTTGTAAAAAAAAAAAAAAAAAAAAAAAAAATCTATGCAAAATGAGAAAAGGAAAACATGGAAAGAAAGCTTTTATTAATAAGGAAGAGGAGGGGGGTTGAAGATGGGGAGGGAAATGAGAAAAAAAGAAGCAAGATATATCATGTACAGGTACAAATTCCATATGATGAATGTGATCATTATGTGCATCTAAAATGTATCAATAAACTTCATCAAAAACAAATCAAAAATCAATTTTTAAAAATTATGTAAATATAAAGCATAATCTTTGCATTAACATAAACTACATGCTCTTCTAATTTTAAAACTGTCAAAGTATTATATATAAATATTTAATAGTAAAACTAAAGACTGTATTTAGTCAATAAACATAAACACTGAAAACAAAGTATTAGATTTCTAAGCAAAAAACATATCAAACAAAATCCTTCAATAGTGAAATAGGCATTTTCTCTCTCACTGAAGGTTACCTACACAGTGAAGGTCACATAGTTAAGACATACCTACCAGAAACTATATTACTGCTAATTATCTTGCCCCCCAAAGTAGCTAATGATTTTGGTACTACTGTAATGATGCTACCACTGGTGGTTTTCACATAAGTTGCAGCTCCAGGGGTTGCAGCCATCCGACCTATGGATGGGCTCACTGTTGGCCGGGTATAGGTTGCCTGTGTGCCTATAAAAAGGAAAAAGCCAAAACAAAAAACAAAAAACAAAAAACCTTATCATTGCTTATAGAAGAATAATTCATAAAGTTTACTTATAATTCAATGTAACTGAATCAACACTGCTTTAACTTGAAAATAGAATTTTTTAAGACATCAAGACATTAATTTACAACTTTCTATCTAGTTTTAAGGCACATAGGAAGAAACAAAGCCAAGTCAATTTGAATTAATTTTACACATAAACTTTTGTGGTATGTTGCATCAAGTTACTAATCCAAAAAAAACATAGAGCTGACCCTACTCCCTTCTCCCACTAGTTTTATGCCAAAAGAAACTTAAATTTAATCATCTTTCTTGTCACAGCATTTTAAATAATTCTACTAAAGATTTTAAGGTCTCTGCATCTGTTTTAGGCTGCCTCAGTGCCAAACCCAACATCAGCACTTAGCAAATAAGGAACTATTATTCACCTAAATTTTATAAACTTTTACTGTTCTGTACTGTTACCCTCTAAATTCATTTCCATCTTTTAAAGCATTATTCCATAATTTTACCACAGATTAATGCTGAAACTGCCAAGAGTGGCCAGGAATATTTCTCTTCAGCTTAAGATTTTTTCTATACATACTTTTTCAACTTTAACTAATCTGTTAGAATATTCTTCCTTTTGTCACTCAGAGGACTTTACACTCTTTCCCACTATTTGTAGTACTTGCTTGACTCTTTCCCTAAGAAGTATTATATACCCTAACAGGTATTAAAAACCAGCCAGATAAGACTATTGTTGTTTCTTACAAATTCAGTAACTCAGAAGGATTATTATAAACTAAGAATTACTAGCCTGATAAAAATGAAAAATAATGATTTATCAACAAGGGAAAATTTTTTCATGACAGATTCAAAGGCTATTTTCAACAATTCTCTCATCTTAAAAAAAAATGTTTTTTAGCAAGTTATTCACCTTTTAAAAACACAACTAACTAGTCAAAAGAGGAAGAAGCAAAGGAACATTAAATAGAATTAATGTAAATTGGTTATAAGCACACCTCAGAATTAGAAAAACTCTAATACAACACAAATATGCTATAAGAATACAAAATTTGAATGCTTTGAATTATACATGAAAAGATTTCCATTTCAGCTTTTGTTTTAAAAAGGAAACACTTACTCTAATCTAATAGACACAATTTTATTTTTCATTACCTCTCCCTAACATGAGAAATCATATATACATAAAACTTATCTTCAAGTCAAACAGAAAAAAGTTTGGATTAAGTGCAATATATTTAATACAAGAGTAATAGTGTTTAAAACAGAAGCAGAAGGTTAAATGGTGGTTGCCAAGGAATAGGGGAGAATGGAAATGGACAGTTGTTGTTTTATGGATAGAGTTTAAGTGTAGAAAAAGGAAAAGGTTCTGGGGATAGATGGCAATGGTAGTTGCACAACAACATACATGTATCCAATGTCAACAAAAAGTATATTTGAAAGCAATACATTTCATGTTAAGTGTATTTTACCACAAGTTTTAAAAAATTTTTTAAAAATCTCAGATTATGGAGTTAAACATATATGGGTTCAAATTCTAATTCTCCCTTATTGGTTGTGTGACCATGAGCAATTGCTTTATGTATATCACTGAAAACAGGACCAGTAACAGAGAGTAAGCTTAATGTTTGTACAGGCCAATAAATGATAGCTTATAAAATCAAGACAGGTATAATTTTACACTATTTATATATTGTCCTCTAAATACCAGCCCTCCTAAAAGTTTACTTAAGAGTTATAGACATTTAAAATAATAGCAATGGCTAATTCTAATATTTATACTAACAGCTACTGAGCACTATACAAGGGACTTTTTACATACTTGTTATTTAATACTTAATTTATAGTTGAGGTATTATAGTGGTACCTTTGTTCAAAACTAACTTATTCTGCAATTTTGGAAAAGATGGGCACATTGGCAAGGCATGATGGTGCATGCCTATAATCACAGCACTCAGGAGGCTGAGGCAGGAGGATTGCCACAGAATCAAGACCAGCCTGGGTCACATTGTGAGTTCAAAGCCTTCCTGAATTACATGGGAAGACCCTGTCTCAAAAGAACTAAAACAAACAAACAAAAAATACTAGATTGCCACATTTATATTTGTGTGGGAAAGACGGTTGTACTCATGTTTGCCACCCAGTACAAAGTTTGCGAAGAAAAACAAAACTTTACCAAATGTTTCTGATTGCAAACCAAATTATGCACAAACAGAAGCATTTACGAAGTGGCATAGTACCATGCTATACAATTTAAATAAGAAAAAGAAATGATTTAGAGAGATTAAGTAACTTGCTAAAGGTCATACAGGGTATACTATTTAAAGTGTTCTACACTGTCACTTCCTCAAGCACTAACTGACTGCTCTATGTGAGCATAATGAAATCTTGTGCTTCCCTCGGTCTCCATAACACTTACCATACTATAATGTAATACAGGCTCTCAAATGCATCACAGTAAGATCCTTGTGGTTTGGGACTATTTTCAATAGGTCAACAAATCCTGACTGAACAACTACTAACAAGCCAGTGCTGTGTGTATATATGTGTATAAGCACCCATGCACACATATTTGAAGCATGTGGTCTAAAAAGGAAAACGAACCAACAAACAAACAAGCTAAGTAAACACGGCCAGTGTTATAAAAGAAAAGAGGACCATGAAAAAGAATGAGGAAGCTAATTTCAGGGAGGTGAGGGGGTAGCGAGAGTCAAAAAGGACTCTGAAGAATTGACTCATTCATTTCTAGACGTTCAGTGTCAAACATAGTGCTGGTATAAAGAAATTACTTGATGAATATAAAAATGAACAGACTGATGTTCACAAGAACTTACCAGTAGGAGTGGTCACCAGTTTAGTTGTCATAATTGCACCATTACTGCTAACTACCATAATAGGGGAATTGCTACTGGTGGGTAGAGTTGCAGTTACTGGTTTAGGTAAGATTTTACTTGGTTGAACCTGTTGTGTGATGATTTTAACACCTTTGAAAGAAGAAAGATTAATCTCAGTACAAATTTTTAAATACATGTTTCTTATACCAACCCAAGAGGGCAACAATCACATATGTTTACTTACTCTTATCTAGAGATGTTTTTTTTCATATTAATGAAACTCTTCAAACTTCTATTTCTCAAATTCTTATCTTCCCTAATTTCTCTCATTTCAGGAACGCAATTAAAACATTACAATAACAAATTCTTCATTTGGATTTTTTTGTTTTTAAAACAGAATGTCTATGTAGTTCAGGCTGGCTTTGAACTCACCATGTAGCTGAGGCTGGCCTCAAACTCACAAGATTCTCCTATCTCAGCCTTGGAAGTACTGGGATTACAGGTTTGCCACCACGGTCCATGCAAAGTTCTTAAAGGAAAACAAACCTTTACTCTTATCTATGGTAGTGTCAGATAAGAGTTTTCAAAACCAAAGTTAGCAACTGGACTTGAACTTTTGCAAATAAAATAATCTGTTACATACAAATCTTTGGAATGAAATAACAAGCACAAAAAGACAAAAAAAAAAGAATAATGTAGCTAATACTATATTCTCCTTGGGTTGAAAGGATTACCATAAGTCAAAAATAAAAATTAATATACTTAATGTTATATTCTAAACTTCTTAAATATATTTTTTTTAAAAACTGCTGAAACTGGGAGTTGTGGCACACACTTGTACTATCAGCAACTTGGGAGGCTAAGGCAAGAAAAGTACTTGAGGAGTTCATGAGTTCAGGACCACCCTGAGCAATATGGCCTCATCTTAAAAACAAAGTGAAACAGAAAAAAAACAAATTAAAAAGACGCTGAACACTGTACAGATCAAGAACATCATTTATTTTTTTAAATATTTTCTTTTAAAAGTATTTTAATAACCCACTTTGCTAAGTATTAACTACAAAAAATACAGTATTACTACACCAACATAAAATCCACCTGTGGACAAGAATTTGAAGGGAATATGCAAAAATAGTATTAAATGTTAAGATGGTGATGTTACTACTTTTTTACATTTTCAGAACAGAAAATTTGATAACAAAAACTATCTTTCAAAAATGAAGATGAAATAGTCTTTACCAGATAAACAAAAAACAAAAAAATGTGTTGCTGATCAGCCCTACAAAACAGTAAATGAAGTTCTATGACTGTAAGGCATGAAACCACAATGTCTGTTCTTCTTGCTTCTATCCAATAATGCATTTACTAGGAGTTCTAACAGGAAAATTACATAAAAAAAAGAAAAAAAGGCATCCAGATTGCCACAAAGAAACTACCTCTATTTGTAATGACATGAACTTTTACATAGAAAAACCAAAGGAATGCATTGAAAATCTGTTTCTTTTTTCGTCTTATTTAAGAGATGGTTCCGTTGGGCATGTGGTGGAAGCCTGCAAAATAGCACTTGGGATGCTAAGGTAGGAGAATCGCTATGAGTTCAAGGCCAGCATGAACTGCAGAAAGACTCTGTCTCAAAAAGATAAAAATAAAAAAATAAAATAAAGAGATGGGTCTCACTATGCTGCTCAGGCTAGTCTAAAACTCCTAAAATCTCAAGCAATGATCCTGATTCAGCCTGAATAGCTGTAACTACAGGCAGGTAACATTATAACAAGGTAGGAAACTAACCAAACATCATGTTCACCAAGATTTAGTATTAAGATGACAATATACCTCAAATTAATCTATAGGCTCAATTCAATCTCTATCAGAATCTCAACCAACTTCTTTCTAGAAAGTATAAGTATATTCCAAAATTCCTAAGAAATTACGAAGGACCCAGAACAGCTAAAACTATAATAAAAGAAGAACATATTGGGGGATAGGCACAACCAAGGGAATTCAACTTTCCTCATTTCAAAACTTACTACAAAAACAATGGCAATGAAATCAATGTGATATTAGTGTAACAGACAGATATATAGACTGATGGAATAGAACTGGGAATCCAGAAATACATCCATATACCTATGGTCAATTCATTTTTGACAAAGATGCCAAGACCATTCAATGGGGAAAAGAACTATCTCTTCGACAAATTGTGCTGATATAATTATACAGGCACACGTAGAATGAAGTGGGAATTTATTAGTCTGTTTCATTATTACTATAATCAAATATCTGAGACAGACTAAAAAAAAAACAAATCGGCTTATTTATCTCACAGTTTCAGAGACTGGAAGTCCAAAATGATGTAGCCCCACTGGTCTGGTCTCTACTGAGAGCCAAATACCACCATGGTACATGCAAGAGGAAGGATGATATTACCACAAAGAAATTTAGAAGACGAAATCTTTTTTTCTTTTTTTCTTCTTTGTGGTGCTAGGGATCAAACTCAGAGATCTGCACATACTAAGCAAGGATTCTACCACTGACCTTTATCACCAGCACTACATTCACTCTTAAAATAGATTTTCACAAGAGCTCAGAGGCACCACAAGGGTTACCTAAATCTCTTCTGTGGAACAGCAGACTCCAACAGAAACTCCTACCAGCTCCCAACTCTTAAAGGTCCACACCATCTTTCACATTACACCAAGATCTAAGCTATAAACACATAAACTCTTGGGGAACATATCCAAACAGCAGCACACTTTTGCTTCATACCACATACAAAAATGAAGTAAAAATGGATCAAAGATACTTAGGTAAAACTATCAAACTCTTAGAAAAAAATACAGAGAAAATCTTTTATGGTCTTGGACTTGAAAAAGGATTAATTATAACACTAACAGCATGAGCAATGAAAGAAATTAAACTAAACAATAAAATTCATCCTTTGTGTTTCAAAGGACACCAAAAATAAAGCAAACAATAAAGAATGGGAGAAAATGGGAGAAATGGGAGAAAGTATTTGCAAATTACTAATAAGGGTTTAATAGACTATATGAAAAAGCTCTTGTAGTTCAATGATAAAAGAACAAACAACCCAATTTACAAATGATCTAAATTTCAAAAGGACATAAATATATTTCTTTCTTTTTTTTTTTTTTTTAATTAATCGGTACCAGGGATCGAACTCACGACTGCCTGCTTGTAAGGCAGGCACTTATGCCGCTGAGCTAAATCCCCAGCCCCATAAATATATTTCTTCAAAGAAAAAATACATAAAAAGTCTAATAAGAAAACAGAATTAGTGGAGTATAGAGGCATATCCCTATAATACCAGCACTCAGGAGCTGATTCAAGAGGATTACTGCAAGTTCATGACCAGCCCTATACATGGCAAGACCCTGTCTCAAAAAACAAAACAAAATGAAAGAAAACAAAAACAGAACTATGCTCAATGCCATTAGTCATCAAATGAATGCAAAAAAGACCACAATGAAATATCATTTCATAGAAACTAGGACAACAAGAGTAAAAAGAGGTAAGTGTTGGCAAAAGTTAAGAACAGCTAAAATTTTCAAACACTGCTGCTAGAATGTAAAAATATACAACTACTTTGGAAAACAATCTGGCCGTTTCTCAAACAACTCAACACAGATTTACCATACAACCTGCAACTCCATTATTAGATACATACATACAAAAATAGCCTGTGGATATGGCTTCGTGGTAGAGATCTTGCCTAACATACAAAGAGGCCTGGAGTCTAATCCCTAACACTACAAAGCAAACATACAAAATAAACTTCAATAAAATTGACCAACCTTTTGCAAATCTGAGAAATAAAAAAAGACACAAACCACAAATATCAGAAATGAAAAGGGATCATTAATATAGATCATACTATAACCATTAAAAAACCAGTAAGAAACTACTGCAAACCAAAACTCAACCATAAATTTGACAATTTATAAAAAAAGCATCAATTCCTTGAAAATCATAATATGAAAACTCAATCAATATCAAACAGATAATCCTAATGAATAGTCCTCTAATCATTAAACAAACTGAATTCATAATTTTAAAATTCTCAGAAATCTTCAGTCTCAGATAGTTTCTCTGGAGAAGTCTACTAAATATTTAAAGAACACCATTCTCACACTAATTCTTTCACAAACTACAAAAGGAATACTTTCAAAGGCATTCCTGAAGACCTGTAACCCTGATACAAAAGTTAGACAAAGGCACTACAAAAGTCAGATAAAGGCACTACAAAATTTAAAAACTACGGTCCAATGTCTATTATGAACACCGACAAAAGTTGAATCCAGCAATATATATAAAATATTTACACATCATGTCCAAGTGGGGTTAATTTCTGATATCCAAATCTGGTTCAACAGAAAATCAATCAGTATAATACAGGATATCAATACACTAAATAACAAAAAACATGATCATATCAGCTGACTAGAAAATAAAGCACCTGACAAAACTCCAATGTCTATTCATTATTAAACAAAACAAAACAAAAAAAAAGTCCCAGACGAGTATGAGTTGAAGGAAATTGCTAAACTTGACAAAAACCTACATCTTTCATCGTACTTAATGGTGAAGACCAATGCCTTCTCCTTAGGATTAATAACAAGGCAAGGATGTCTACTCCCTCCAATCTTATTCACTCAACATAGTAATGGAAGCTCTACTCGTTGAAATAAACAGAAAGATAGAAACAAACAAACAAACAAACAAACAAACAGAAAAGGAGAAACAGAAAGAAGAAAAAGAAAAGAAAATAAACAGAAAGATAGAAACAAACAAACAAACAGAAAAGGAGAAACAGAAAGAAGAAAAAGGAAAAAGGAAGAGAAAAAATGTAGGAACAAAGAAAAAGAATGAGGAAAGAAAAAGGAACAAATGAAAGAAAGAAAGAATAAACATGCAAATATTGACTGGAAAGGAAGAAAAAATGTATTTACACATAACTGGAAACTTCTACAATATGCAAAAAACTCCAAAAATCTAAGTAAATACTCCTAGAAATAAATGAGATTAGAAAAATCAAATACAAAGTCAGTATTACTTTTATACTCCAACAACGAACACATGAAAACTGAAATTAAAATCATAACACTACTTATATTCATTCCAGTAAAATGAAATACTTAGGTACAAACCTAACAAAACATGTACAACATCTGTATGTTGAAATCTAAAGCACTGATGAAAGAAGACCTAAATAAATACACCTGTAGAATACAATGTACATGAACTGGAAGACTCAGAGAATTGGTGAACAGAATGAGCATATCTTGTAAATATTTTCCAGTTACCTGATTCCTGTTTGATTTGGATGGTAGGTTTGATACCAGGTGGCAAAGAAGATTGCTGAGGCTGTTGTTGATGAGATACTAGAGAAGGTTGAGCCACAGAAGGCTGTGCCTGTTGTTGTACTTGATGTAACTGCTGTTTAGGAGATTGTTGATGCTGTTTAGGAAACTGTGCAAGAATCTGGGTCGGGGTACTCACTAAGCTTTTGGGGGAAGGAAGTCTTGTTGTTGCCATTTTGATTGCTGATGTAGATACACCTGCAGAAATATAAAGACAATTTGACAGGAAAACATAAATAAAATTATTTTGGGTTACAGTAGATAACAGTTAAAAATCCAGGTAAATCAGTGAAATCTATGATTTACTGAGCACTTAGTGTCATACAGTACAGTGGTACTTAGTGTCAGATAGCACATTTGATATATACTCTTCTAATTGTAAGGAAAGCATTTTTGCTCTCAGACTCAAGAAAGAACTGACTCTCTTTTAGTGAAGTGTTACAATTAAAAATCAGTATGTATGCACACAGGTCTCTCTATAGAAAATAAACTAGTGGTGAAATATTGTGTTGCTTACATTGTTCTGTTCTGATCTGCTTTGTTATGTACTCTTTTGTCTTAATCTCTTTAAAATAAAAAAAATTTTAAAAAAGAAAAGAAACTAGTTAATTTAACCTTGAAGTATCCATACCTGGTCTAAAAGTGGCTATGTGGATGAAGTAAAACTAAAGATTGAGAAATGCTTAATGAGACAAAAGTTGTATTCAAAATTACCTAGAGGGATTATTCATATTAAACATTTATACTTACTTTACCACCACCCCCATAATACTACAGGAAGGAGCTATTTTAGTGACATGTGTTCTAAATTGCTATAGAACTTGTATCCTATATCTATTTAGTGACGTGTATCTATTTGCTATGTTAGATTATCACTGGAGCAGCCCCTTTTGATGCCAAAATTTTATGACTCAATATTCACTCACAAGTGAACAATATTTTTTAAACTTAAAATATTTAATCTTTATAATACACTCATAATGTATGGTTCTATATTAACTAAGTTAACTATGTGGGTAACTCCCTAACTCAACTATGATCTCCATATATTTCTGTATAGGAAAAGTAACTGATGTAAAAGCATTTAATGTGATTTCAGAATCAGATATTATAATTGTATCTAAATGAAGCATTCAAATCACAAATATACAATAGCTATGTGAACTGACTAAAGTCCTTAGCCTTTCTGAATATTTATTCATTCAATAAGAATTAAGGATTGAGAAATGCTCACTTAATGCTTACATACTTAATGTTACATTTTGGGTAAACTATTTTGTATACATGAAATAATCTCTACCTTCAGGAAAATTAAAATTGAGAGCAGCTTAGCATTCTGGAGGCTCTAGGCTCAATTTGCAGAGTTACAAAGAAACATAATCTAATGAATGATTACACAAATCTACCATGAAAAACTAAAACATGTTATTTGTGTTTTAATAAGAAAAGGGTGCTCTTTCCCCTTCTTTTGCCCCTTGCCAAGCAAGGGAATGGGTGAGGGAGGTTGTTAAATCTCAAGGTGATGCAGAAGTATGTAGGCTATCAGAGTCTAATAGAATGAAAGCAATGATAAAAGATTAGTTATATAGTAGTGGATTGATGAAAGGAAATGCTGGGCATGGTGATGCATATCTGAAATCCTAGCACTTGGAAGGCTGAGGCAGGAGGAAGGCCAGAAGTTCAAGGCCAGACTGGGTTGCACATTGAGTTCAAGGCTAATCTGAACTACATAGGGAGAGCTTTTCTTTATTTAAAAAAAAAAAAAAAAAAGGCAGTGTTTGGCTGAAATAAATATATCAGTATGAACTCATAGTTTTCACCATATGGAAATAAATATACACATAAATATGTGCATTATGAGAGCGTTACATAGATCTAAAATATCCTCCCATAATCTCATGTGTTCAGAGGTAGACCTTTGGATCACAAGGCCACTATATTGACTGGCAGATTAATCCATTTATGAGTTCAAAGCTGAATACGTTGTCAAGAAGTGGGGTTTGGTTGAAGAAGTGGGTCATTAAGGATACGACCTGGGGGGCTGGGGATTTAGCTCAGTGGCATAAGCACCTGCCTTGCAAGCAGGTAGTCATGAGTTCAATCCCCGGTACAGATTAAAAAAAAAAAAAAAAAAAGGATATGACCTGGAAGGGTATATTCTTGTTCCTGGTCTCTTGGTCTGCATGTATTGTGTGTGTGAGACTGTCTTGTCTCTTTCGCTGTCTCTCTGTCTCTGAGTATCTGTCTGTCTGTCTCTATTTCCTGACTGTCATAGAGTAAGCAAAATTACTAAACCATGCCCTTTCACCATGTCATTTCTGCCTTGGAACCTGCCAATTGTGGACTGAACACTCTAAAACCATGAACTAAAATAGAACTCTATTCCTTAAATTGTATATGTCAGATGTTTTGTCCCAAACAACAAAACTAACCAATAATACAGTGCCTGAATATACATGCACACATGCACACTGCATGTGTACATGTGCTCACATACTTATACATGTTCCTCAGTAATAAGCATGTTTAGTACTCTGATCTTATCTTCTAATTACCACTTTCCACTAAAAATAACTAGAGCGCCTTGGAGAAATGGCTGCTCCTAATGATGGAGTAAGAATAGTATAGATCAGTGATGGTGAACCTTTTAGAACTTTCAATGATACAAATAGCCTGCTGCAGCACATGTGCCATAGGTTCACCAACAGTGGTATAGGATGAGCCTGATATATATAAAAACTTTTCACTCTTTTGAAATTCCTTTAAATGAAAACTGCCTGTTTAAAGTAAACCTATTAATGCAACACTTACATAACAGAAGTTTGTTAAATGCATAAAACATATGACAATCATGACATAAACATAAGAGAAAAGAAATGGAAGGGCACTTAAAATTCTAGCACAATACATTAAATATTGTATTATTTGCCAGTAGACTGCTACAAATTAAAGATGCATACTGTAAGCCCTAAACCTGTATTCTCAACAAAGGTCTATTTTGTCACCACTGCTCCCAACCACCACCCTAGGTATTGTGTCTGGCAATCACTGGAGACATTTTTTTAACATCATGAGTGAACAAACTAATGATATCTAGTGGGCTAAATCCAGGGATCCTGGAAAACATCCTATCCTATGTTATATAAATCAGCCCCCACAACAAAGAATTATCTAGTCCAAAATGTCAATAATCTGAGAAAATTACTGTACAGCAACTACTCAAGAAAAGAGAGAGGAGCCCAGGACTTAGCTCAGCAGCGTAAGCCTCTGCTTGGCAAGAGCTAGGTCGTGAGTTCAATCCCCAGTACCAAAAAAAGAAAAAAAGAGACAGAGAGAGAAAAAGAGAATTCATGGTTAACAAGCCAACTGTCTCAATTACTTTCTCATTGATAGGACAAAATACCCAGTTCCCACAAGTTACAGGAGGGGAGGATTATTTTGGCTCATAGTCTGCAAAGTTTTCATTACACAGTCCACTGGTTGCAGGGCAGAGCAACAGAGAAACAATTCATAGGATGGCAGGCAGGAAGCAAAGCAGGATCAAGAAAGGAGAAAGGATATAAATGAATGAATGAATATGTGTGTGTGTGTGTGTGTGTGTGTGTGTGTGTGTGTGTATGGAGAGAGAAAGAGTATACACCTTCTTCCAAGCCACATCCACAGTGACCCACCTCTTCCCAACAGGCTTCACCTCCCAATATCACCTAACTCTAACCCTAACCCAGATTTAAACCCATAAATGGACCAATCCAGTGTTCAGTGATAAGTATCTTTACATGGTCCAAAAGTTCCATCTATGAGTGCATGAGGCTTAGGAAAACATTTTGGATATAAACCCTAATACCAGTGAAAGAGATAAAATGGAAATTTTTAAAATAACAAAAACCCAATAAAGCCACATGAAGATTGGGAAAAAGGAAGAAAAAACAAAGAACAGAGAAGACAAATAAAAAGTTGTCAAGATGACAGATACAATGATAACTGACAATGACCTTATATATAAATGGACTAAACAAATAAAATCAGGGATGGTAAGACTGAATAAAAAAGCAAACATAGATGAGTTAAAAATACAAGAATTAAAGAAGATACATCAAGTAAACACAATCATAAGAAAGTGGTACTCCCTGTCTCTGGCCACGTAATGCCGTGTACCATCCTAAGGACTCTGCCATCAAACGCAATCTCTTGACTTTAGATTTTCAGAACCATTAGCCAAAGCATTTTTTCTTTAAAAAAAAATTTATCTGCCACCCACTATTTCTTTACAGTAATGAAAAATGGAATATATAATATAAAGTACTTAAAGAGGCAAAATAGGAGCCCTCGAAAGAATGATGCCACCCCAAAACGATAAAAAGGCAAAAAACCCAAGCCATGTAAGTGAAAAGATGACAAATATTTTATCCATGTTGTTTTTTAGCCAGTTATCAAAGGAAAACAAAATCAAGTATAAAATCATATATTCATTAAATAGGATGTCCTCCAGTAGGAAGTTGTAACCAAGGGCCCTTTCACACGCTAGATATGCACTTAACCACTGAGTTACACCTGCAGCCCATCAATTACATTTAGTCATAGAAATTATTCCCCTTACATATTGTTTTTGTTTTGTTTTGTTTTGTACAGAATAAAAATATGGACTTAATATTGGACAGATAGTAGTAAAATACTCTAAGATATTATGATTTATGGAAATTCAGTAAGGTATGTAGCAAACTATCAAAAATTCCAATATTTTCATTTGGTAATCTTACTCTTGATGCTGTTTCTAATAAAAATAAAAGGCCCAGGTAAATTCACAAAACTGAAGGTGATCTAAATATCCCACAATGAGAATAATTTAATAAATTATGCAGCAGTAACAGAAATATTAAACAGCATTAAAAATAATTAGGAAAATTATAGAGAATGTTTTATTCCAAATAGGTAAAAAAATAATGGACATGGGTAAAAGGCAGTAATAGGTAAAATGTAAAGTGCTATTGGTGGCATAGTGGTAGGATTACTGGTGGGCATTTATTTTGTACCATTTTCTAAAATTATTTAATCTACTAATATTTTCAGATCTTCAAATTTTTAAAAATACTTTTAGATACTAAATGGGGACTATATTTGAATTGACAGTATTGAGGAATTTTACAAAGACAGGATTTCACGAGTGGAATACAGACACTCCATCAGAGTCAGCCTAAAGTAAGGGAAGTAGTACTAGTAGATAGAATGCAATTAGAAGCAAAAGTTGAAGTAGAATTAAAGAGGGAAAAGGAAAGATTAACAGAAGATTGTCTTGGATATATAATTCAAAACATTCACAAAAGAATATGACCAAAAGAGTAAGATCAGCCAAGCGTGATGGAGCATGCCTATAATACTAGCACTTGGGAGGTTGAGGCAGGAGGATCACTGCAAGTTCAAGACCAGCCAGGGCTATAAAGTGAGCTCAAAGGCAGCATGAACTGTGTAGTGAGACCTTGCCTCAAAAAAGCAAAAAAAAAAGGAATATGAATAAAAATTTCTCTCATCAAGAGAAAAGAAGAATCAATGAAAATGTACTCACCTGAAATAAACTATTTTTTTCTAAAAACTTACAAAGCACATTTCAATTATCACTCTTTTCAATTACCAGCACCAGAATTATAATTGTAAAATTAAAAACAATCACTTCCAAATATTAAAATGCACAAATTTGTACATTTCATTTTCTAAGAAAAAGGCAAAATTATATATATGTATATATATGTATGTATATATACGTATATATGTATATACACACGCATATATATACACATATATGTATACACATATATACATTTGCTTATCTACTTACAAATGGAAGGATAAATAAAATAACTAAAAGAAAACAGATTATCAGAGATAACTGAATAGGAGCCATAGATGTAAAAAATTTGGAATAACTCACTAAATTGCATTCTTAAACTAAAGGAAGGGAAGGGGTAAGTAATCAGATCATCTAATGGTAGAAGCCTTTGTATCCAAAGCAGAAAAACATAACCACATAGTTTTCTTCAAAAGTCCTATACCAAAAAGACAAATAAAATGGTGAATTACCACTTACCTTGTGCTACTGTTGACATGACAACAGACGGTGTGGAGGATACAACAGCTGTTACCGCAACTGTACTAGGAATAGGTGATGGTGTAGAACTGCTGCTGCCACTGCTGCTACTACTGACCAGAGAGGACTGTGAAGCAGTTATAACAACCGGTGGCTTCTGAGTTGTGGAAGCAATGACTGATGTTGGTACAAGTTTAGTGACCGCTGCATAGTTATGGGATTTGGAGAGAATGTTGGGTACGAAGGTAGAACTTGGTGATGTGGTCACTATAATAACCTAAGAAAAGAAAAACAAGTTATTTCATGTATCTACTATGCTATTAATATATTTATACTCACAGTTATATACAATTCAAAAATGGTTTATGAAATACAAAAAAAATTCAACACAAATATATAACTAAAAATATATGTAAGTTTTCCTTTATTATTAACCATAGTTACTTTTAAAAATTTTTTACCAATCAAATATTTTAAAAGGCAATATCTAGTGCTGTGCAAGAGGTAGCACAGCAAACCTAACATACTGCTTAAGGAATATAAATTGGCACAATCTCTCTAGAAAGCAATTTGGACATTCATTCATTTATAAATATTTATTGAGCATCTACTATGTGCCAGGCATGGTTCTAGATGCTGGGGTAGAAAACTGAACAAAGTTCATACTTTCATGGAATTTACATTGTAGTAAGGGGACAGAAACAACAAACAAATAAAAAAAGTAAAAATATGTCATGTAGATACAAATGGAAAAAATTATAAAGCAAGGTAAGGGAATATAGGATGATGAGGGAGCTATATGATTTTTTACAATAAAATATTAGTGAAGATCTCTGTGTAACATGAAATTTAAGCAGAAACCAGAGGAATAGGGCTATGAACTATGTTGTGACCTAGAAAACAATCCAATTCACAACAAATACAAAAGTCTTAAAATAGAAGCAAGCTTGATACGCTCAAGAAATTTTCCAGAAATAATAAACAGTATTGGAACTTATAAGGTAGAGAACAGTAGGAACTAACTAGAGAAGCAACAGAGGACTAGATCATTTAAGATTATAACAATAGTTTATATAATTAATACATGTTCTTCCTCTCCAAAACCAGTAATTCTAGTCTAGTCGTAAAAAAAACATCAGGGAACTCTAGACACTAGGGTATCATACAAAACACCTAACTAGTACTCCTCAAAACAGTGAAAGTCACCATAAACAAAGAAAGTATGAGAAATTTTCACAGTCAGTAAGTTAAGGAGACATGACAAGCAAATGTAATGTGGATATCCTAGATGGGATCCTGGAACAGAAAAAGACTAAGTAAAACCCAAATAAATCTGAGTAAATCATAAACTTAAGTTAATATTATTGCATTAATATTATTCATTAATTAAAACAATGTATTACAATAATGAAAAACATTAAGAATGGAAAAACTAAATAAAAGGTACTTGAGAACTCTGTACTACTCTCAATTTTTCCATAAAATCTAAAACTGTTTCAAAAATAATGTGTATTTTTAAAAATGCTTTAATATATCTGCTAGGCAGAAGGTATAAACAGAGACAAGTTGGTAAACTCTTATAATAAACCAAGAAGAGATGATGGTGACCACACTGTTCCCAATGGAGGTGATTAAACATGAACTAATTCTGATTATATCTTAAAAGTAAAACCAACAGAATTTCCTCATAGGTTGATGTGGAAAACAGAAAAAGAGAAGCAGGAAAGAGACTTCAAGGTTTAGCCAATATGGTCAAAATGCTGTTGATGATTTAGGGACAATGTATTTCAGAGGGAAAGAATAGTAGAGTAAAAGAACTAACTCCAGCACTGGTTTGATATATTTAAAAACAGAAAGGAAGGCAGTATAGCAAAACTATGTAAGGCAAAGAGTAATTTAAAAAGGAATATGAGACCAAGTTTAAAACCCATAAAAATTTAGATTATATACAAGAATAATGGAAAGCCACAGAAGGATGTTAAACAGAAAAACAACAAAATGTGATTTATATTTAAAACTCTGTTATATAACAAGAGGCAAGAGCAGAAGCAAGGAAAGCAGTAGACCAGGCAAGAAAAACAGGGGATGCTTGAAGTAGGTGTTAATAGTAGAAATAAATAGAAGTCAGATTATTCTGAGACACTGAGAAAACGTTATTGATAACGAGAATGGCAGGGTTAGAAAAAGAACAAAATTAAGAATAGCACGTAGAGCTAATATACACTGGTTTATTTAAGTAATTTCCCAATAAGTCTATGACACAGATACTATTATTATCCCCATTTTATAGCTGAAATTATAAAGACTATATTTATAAATCTGTAACATCACAGTTTTACTTTGAGATAAATATTAACCATCCTATAGCAATCCTCAAAACAGAACATAGTATCTTCTTTCACTGAAATTGTACACTTAGGACAGAAAAATCATTTTGAAAACTCCAAAAAAATTTAAGGAAGAACCTTTCATTTTTACATTGCTCCTTAAGAAGGCCTGAGATTAAATCAGTCAAAATGAGTATATACTGAACTCAATACTCAGTACCTACATTCCAAAGAAGCTTTTATTTTCAGTGTCATAAAGGCTTAGAAGACACAAGTACTTGTTAACTATCTAAGCAGTCAAAGTTACAAACATAAATCTTGACCAGCAAATACCTACATAGAGCTCACTAGCATACTTACATATAAACTTAAATCAGCAAACACCTATAATAAGAATATTAGAAAACAACCAGAAGCATCATATAACTGAGAAGTAAATCAATATGTTAACAGAAACACAAACTTAAGAATCAAGTGAGCCTGCACTTAGATCTTGCTTCTGTCACAAATGGCAGGTGCCTGGACATGTTAAAAGGTTTCAATTTTCATCAGTGCAATGAGGATAATAATACCTACCTTGAAAATGATTATAAGGATTAGATGAGATAATCAAGTAAAGCAACTACATACTAGGCACATAGCAGGTGGTCAATATTTAGCAGTTAACAAATGAACTTATTAGTAATTATTATTCCTACTTAATAAATATTAAAGGGATATCAGTAAAGACATTATAGATCAAATCAATCTGGAAATTCCTTTCATGTATTTTATTTTTGCTTAATAAAAAAATTTTTTTATCTTTACCCCAAATTCTGATACTCCTTATAATCCAAATTGTTGCTATCAACAAAGCTAATTACAAAAGTGATAGCAATTCAGTTTCACTTTTGTCAATTTTGAACCAAGGATAGTTTCTGGAGGCACATAGTTTGTCGAGGCTTAGCAGGAAAGTATGCTAATGTTACTTAGTAATGTCTGTAAACAGACAAAATAAATGGAAGTAATCACATTTATAATCAAATATTTGCAATTTCAGAACAAGAGTACACACATGAGATTCTAATATTAAGACAACAAATTTCAGAAAAATCTAGTCTTTAGGAGTATGTTCTGTAATACAGATACAAACAATACAACTCATCTTGAGATTTTAATGCACAAGATGATTTCTGATTTGTAACGGGGCTACCCAACATTAAATCCACCTTAGAAAAATCTATGTGCCCTTTACATTTACTTATTGTAACAGAGAAATAAAGGGATTTGAAACCAAGTGAACCAACAGTGTTTATTCAGGCCATAATTCAAATTACTGACCTTCTAGCACTCACAAAAACTCCTTAAGAGTGCTGGGACCTGCACCCTAAGGACAAAATGAAAAATATCAATCAAGCACATGAAAGCATAAAGCTATATTCTGTTGCTTTGTTTATATCAGTGCTGTACCAATGTTATATTTAAATAAAGGTACCACATCAACATAGGTGGAGATTTGTCTACACTGAAAATGTAAAACCTATCTGAATTTGAATAAAATCCACAAATTGATATATAATTATACTTAATGTAAAATTATTTTACATAAAACTAAGTTGTCTTCACAGAATGCATGAGAAATCCAAAATGAACGCAGTAACAACCATCTTACGTTCAAAAAATTCTGATTACCCAGAAAAAGATAAAATGAAATAACCTAAGAATATTTATTAAGCCCTACCTATACTCTGCTTATCCCAAGAAATAAAACTGCTGTGACTAAGTACACATGAAATACAAGAGCTTTGTATCTGGAACATAGTAGATGCTCAATAATTACTTGTGAAATAAATTTTATATTCAATTTGTTTTAAAAGTTTATTTTTTAAACTCAGTAAGACAAATCTAAGATTCTGAATCTGAAACTGCATGGTACAGTTCATTAGTGACTTTAAAAATAAAAGTCAATTTTCTGCATTTAACCCCTTTTAAAAGCATCACAAGTCAAACAACCTAAACCATTCCTGGTGAAAAACTCAGAAGGGGAGGAAAAAAAAATATATATAAAATAAATTCTTTAAGACTCCACAGATATCACTTATAGATGAACCCCTATCTAGTATAAGTATTTTTATATAAGTCTAAAGATTGCAAAGTTAATAATGTTAGATGACACTAAACACTCATCACATGTAAAATGTATTAAGTGTTTCCCACCAATTATCCTACTTAACTCTCCCAGTAACTCTGAGAAATAATGCTATCATTTTTGTTGTATAAGAAAACTGAGGCTCAAGGAAGATAACAGAGCTAGTACTATAATAAATCTATGTATTAATTAGCATCTTACATGACAAGCATTTTCTAAACACTAGTGAACACAGTGATAAATAAGACAAAATCTTTTCTCTCAACCAACTTAGTTTCATGGGAGAAACAAAAAGAAGAAAGTTTGCAATATAATATCAACTAGTATAATGAATACAAATAAAATATTGGAAATAGAAACATAGATGGGAGGTAGGTTTTTTTTTAGCTATAACTATATTCTACTATCTCTTAAGATGCAAAATTTTAAAAAATAGGTAAGGAAGTCGGGTGTGGTGACTCATGCGTATAATCCCAGCACTCTGGAGGCTGAGGCAGGAGGATTGTTGCAAGTTTGAGACCAGCCTGAGCTACACTGTGAGCTCAAGGCCAGCTTGAACTGCATAATGAGACCCTGTCTCAAAAAGTACTAGTAAAGTAAAACAGAGACTCAAGTGTAACAGGCTGATGTAACCCAATCTAGGGCCAGCTCAGAAAACAATTAACTATAACATTTGAAAAGTGACATTCAGAAAGATTATCCTGAAGTCATCAAATAAAAATGCAAAACTGATGTCCAGTGTAATATTTAAGAAGTCACCAAAAATAAGTTATTTCAATAGATTGAGGTATATACTTCAGTGAACTGATAAATTTATTTATTTGGAACAGCTCATTATCAACAACATAAACAGAACACTGTTTTCCATAAAATACTTATAAGGGAAAGAAGCTAACTTTTTTTGACTATATTATACTTTTAAGTATCCAATCTCTTTAATCCTTACAATAACCTTCTAAAACTGGCATTACTCTCATCTATGAGGAAAAAGATTTAGAAAGACAAATTTACTTCAGGTCATATTGGAAGAAGTAGATTTCTAACTCGGAACTTTTGAACTTCAAAATTTCCTGCTTCCTTTTTAATATTATACCACTATCCCTTCTCTTAGATTAAAAATACCATCCATTCTTTATTGCTTCTTGTTATTAAGAAAATAAATTTTCACATATTATATAAGAATATCTTGCCAAAAACCTCAAGGAAGTTAAAATGCCATTAATAGGACCAAGAATTCAAAAGTAAAAAACATACACTGAACACAGAACTTAGTGCTATTCCTTTCTCATAATTCTACTAATACCTTATGAAGGAACTTTTTTTTTTTTAAATTTTAAAAGGAACTTTTTTTAAAGGGGAAAAGGCACATAAACTAGTCAAAACAAAAAAGTACTCAGATACAGAGGCATAAGACTTCAGTTCCAGCTAAACTAGAGAGACAGAAAGAGAAACAGAGACAGAGACAGAGACAGAGACAGAGACAGAGACAGAGACAGAGAGGAGAAAAAAAGGAGGAAGAAAGGTGGAGAGAGAAAGAAAGAGGGGGAGAGAAGGGAAGAGGAGAGATGAAAGGAATGATGGCAGCTATAAACCTTTCAAAAGTGGAAAACAGACCAGTCATAAATGAACCACGCCAGTTATGAAAGAAAGACAATTTTCACATGCAAGAAAAAGAGTCAAGAATTGCAAATACAACATGCTTTTGACATGAGGATAAAAGTGGGAGTCAAGAGAAGAAAACTAGTTGAAAATCTGCTGACGAAACATTTAGATCTCTAGCTGCCCTCCCACACATCACAGGAAGACCAGGCACTTAAGAACTGAATCTAAAGGAATCTGTTCACACTACATACAACTAAGGTAACTAAGTGGTACACTTAAAAAAGGGCTAAATAAAAATATAATTTATGGTGAGGTCACCTACATCTATTCCATTTACTCCAAATATTGGCAGCCAAAATTAAATTACTCAAGGCAAGAGATGAAGTCCAAAAAAAAAAAATCCAAGACATTACATACCATGAAAAGTGGAGTAAGTGTTCCTTAAAAAAAACAATCTAGCTAGGAAAACCGATAAGGAGGTTACTAGTCAGCACCGCCCACTCATACACACAAAGTTTACTGCCCACTTTTATATATAAGTAGGTAGCCAGACATTTTTAGAAAATGCTGAAATGAAAGAGATAAAAATAAATAAAATGAACTTACAGGTAAGATAAAGTACATGAAAGAAGAAAACATAAAAACCATCAGATCAAGCCAGTTGTGGTGACACACACCAGCAATCCCAGCACTTAGAAGGCTGAGGTAGGTGGAGCACCATAAATTCAAGGCCAGTCTAGGTTATGTACTGAGTTCAACGCCAGCCTGAACTACATACAAAAACTTTGTCTCAAAAAAAATAAAATTAAAAAATCATCTGATCAAAGAATATAACAATGTTCTAACAGGATTTTTTTTAAAAAGGAATTTTCAGAGTACAAGAAAGACTAGACATTTAAAACATGATAGAAAAAAATGGAAACTCCCATAGAAATATTGAATACAGAATAAAAAGACCTAGTAACACGATCCTATAATCCAAAAAAGCACTCAAAGGCAAAGGCAGAAGTATTGCAAGGTCAAACCCAGCCTGAGCAACTTAGTGACTTAGCAAGACTCTGCCTCAAAATAAAAATTTAAAAGAGCAGGGAATGTAGCTCAGGACAAAATTCCTGGAAGTTCTATCCTTATACTGAGGAAAAAAAACAAAAACAGGAATAGTAATACTTACAGAGCATTTATTATCTGCTAAGCTCTAACAGTTTTCATATTATCTTCAAAACTTTTAAAAGTATCTTTTCTGTATTTCACACATGAGAAAATTTAGGTACACAGTTTAATCTTCCCACAGTTACACAATTGTTAAGTGGCAAAATCTGGGACTGCAACTTAGAAAGTCTCACCTCAAAATCCAAATCTTTAAGCACTCTGCTATAGCAGGTGGGAAAACCAAACAAACAGAAAATGAGAATGGCAAAAGGCAAGAAAGTTAAAGAATCCAACTGAGGCAATTCTACCTCCTGAATCACAGGTAATCCACAAAGAAGTGGAGAAAAACCAAAGGAGTAACTCAAAATTTCTGAGACATGAAAGACATAAGTGTCCAAAATGAGAAGTCATACTTGAGCATATGACATAATCAATAAAATAAAGTCCTACATCAAAGAATATTTCTTTGAAATGTCAGGACTAGGGAAGTTACTAAGACTTTTCAAAGACAAAAACATGACACCAAAACCTGAAAGAACAGTACCTTTAAAATTTTAAGAAAATGACTTCCAACCTAGAAGACTTTACCTAGCTAAACCATGACAAAAATGAAAGGCTAGAAAATTTAATTTGCAACCTGTAATGAAAAGCCTCAAAATATTTCATCCAGCCATATATCCTAAAGTTACTGGAGGATATGCTCTACCAAAATGAATAGATAAACTGATAAAAGAAGAAGATCAGAATAACAGTAAAGAAAAATCCCAGAAATATAGGTGTACAATAGCTACCAGAGTCCATCAGAGTCCAGATTAGTGTGGAAATACTAAAGGTTCCAATAGCATGCAATATTTAGACTACTGACAACTTAAACATGCATACCTAGGGAACAGTTTAGGAATGAATTCATGATAGCATACAAAAAATTTTTTGAAAGACCATATTCCTCCTTTCTTTACAAAAAACCAACTCTGATAACTTTGTTACTTTGGCAAAGTAAAAAATGAGTTTTGGAAGGTATAGTCAGACAAAAGGAGGTTTAAAAAACTTTGCTATTTAAAAAAATTCCAAATGATACTCTAATGATGAAATAAGTCTCAAAGTAAATCTGCTAGCTGTTTCATCATAGGCAAATGATTTAGCCACCTATGGGCAAAAATAATACCAATTTTAATTTTTCTGTGAAGAACTGAACAAGTAAAATATATGAGCATTCCCAGCATACTGCCAAGCACATAATAAGCACTCAGCTATACTTGTTAAATGTACATCACAGTTTCAGAAAGAGATAGAAACAACTGGCAGGCACATACTACATCTACTACATACCTTCTGTGTTGTTGTGTTTGTTGTCTGTGTTGACGGTTTGGTAAAGGTTATTTTCACAGGAGACATGTGGGGTGGTAAGGAGTTAGCAATGCTCTGCATGATGTTGCTCATCTTGGGACTGCCACTCACAGGCACAGTGATCGTCTTTGAAACTGGAACAACAGCCTTTGGAACTTCCTTTAGGACAACAGGAGAGGAGCTAGAAGAGTTTGTTCGCCTTCGTTTTCTGGGTTTTTCATCTTCATCTGAACAGCTAACACCTGAAAGGCAATGACAATATTGCTATATTTATACCAAACTAACATTACGTTTTGTATTTTATTTTTAAAAACCCATGTGTCAGATCAGGGTTACAGTTCAGCAGCACAATGACCTCTTGGCAAATGCAAGGTCCTGAGTTCAATTTCCAGTATCAAAAAAAAAAAAAAAAAAAAAAAAACTATGTGTGATCAAGTCAGTCTTGATCTTTCCCTTTGCCTTACGGCCAATCAACCTGTAAGTCCAATCTATACTTCCTCAGAGAAGCTGTCACTGAATATCTTCTCTCTTTTCTTTAAACCTATGTCCATTATTCCACATCAGTCTTTCTTATCTCTTACCTGTATTTTAGCAATAACCTCCTAAAAGATGTCTATACCTCCACTCTTTCAATTTCTACCCTCTGTCCTACTATCAGTTACAAAATTTCATACCATAGGCAGTGCATTGGCATGATTAAGTTGGCATTAGCAATTTTTATCTTTCTATAAGATGTGGTATAAAATCATTACCATATCATTAAAGGCCTCATATCTTTCCAAGAACACAAAAATATCTTGTTGCACCTAACCATGTTCATTCCTAAAATCTTGGTATGTTAAACCATTCCCCAAAACAACTTAGTACATTCTACTTCTGGGTCTCTACGTAATATTGTTCTTTGTAAAAAGCCACCTACCATGAAAGACCTTTTCATCATCCTGGTATTGTCATCCTCCAAGTTATTTCCTCAGTAAAATACTTTTTACTGCTCATCCAGCATGTTTCCTCTGAGTTTATAAGGTACTTTGTACCTTTTCTTCTATACCGCTTACCACTTGGCAATGTATCTGTTTACAAGCTTATTTCCCATTACTTAGGAGCTAAATCTTATGGCTTGTTTCCCTGGTATGGTATCTTAGACATAAAGTCAGGTGAATAGATAATTGTTTTTACCCCAAACTAATGTCTGTGTGACTTCTCAATATAAAACAACGTACTACTTGGAACTTAAAACTACGTATTTTGAGAAATGGTTTCTTCATATTTGGGAATCCAGTGTTTAAAAAACCATAATAATAAAAAAATAAGTCTGTGGAGCTTATTTTAAAAGACCACCCTGGCTAAATCTACAGAAATCAGTCATAAGTTTAATAGTTCAAGATTCATAGCTTTTGTTTTATATATTAAAACCTTTATTGTTATAGACATGTTTAAAAAAATCAAATTAGATATAATACGATACCAATCTACATTAAAAAAAAATCTCTAAAGCAGGCATAAAAATTATACAGCATGACTCATGGGTTGATAATAAAAGATAACTCCTAACACCTTCATTTTAACTCTGACTCTAATTTCAACTGGGCTGAGAACAACACAGGGTCACCCCTGTCTAAAATAGCAAACACAGCCTCTAAAAATTACAAAGAATCAACTATATCCTGAGTAAAATGAAAATTAAATATTAATGATCTCAATATATAAAAAGCAAAGCAAAAGGTAAAATAAATTTTAAAAGAAAAAGGGGCAGCAATATAAAAGAAAAAAATACATTCCTTCATAGGGTAGAATCAACAAGTTAAAATTGCAAACAAAAATTTTTTAAAAATAGTCAATTAGAAATGTAGACATTCCTCATTTAACAACAAAGGGCAGTTCCTAGAAGCTAGTCATTAAATAAATTAGTCCCTACATGAGGAATCGTATGTATATTACAAGATTCAGTACAGTATAATGTATAACAACATAAATCTATAGTACTGTACTAGACAGTACAATCATCAAAAATTATAGTACCATACTATGGAAGAAGCCACCATAAGGGCACACTGCCACTGACATCCCTCCATGGTAAATCCAAATGAGGGCTGTAAGTCAGAGCAGCAGATTGTTAAATCATTAGATCATTAAACAAGGAATTCCTGAATAAAAGACTTTTAGAGTACTTCACTGACTCTAACAGCTGAATGATATATTATGTGAACTAATAAAAACACTACAAAGATTAGAATCACAGAAGTAAATGTTGACTACATGACATAAGTATATTCCTTCAGTATGTATTCACATTTCTAGTCCATTACAATCAAAACAAGTGAATACTTGAAGGAGAGCACTGTTTAAAGGCAGATCCCCCAAAAAGAACAAAGAGAAGATACTTCTCAAACTGTATAATGGATTGAAAATCAATACACACCTAGTCACATAGACAGAAAGGAACTCTTTGAAATCTTCAAAAACTAACCACTGGTAATGCTAGTGGCCTGATGATTTATTCCAGGAAGGCAGATCTAATCAGAGCCTACCCTGCAATATTTAGCCAAGATGGCCCTGGAAACACTGAGAGTATCACTTACTTTTGACATAAACAGTACTTCCACTTGGCAAGACAACTACATTGGAGGCAGGACTGGCAGGTCTTGGAGACTTAACCGTTGCTATGCTGCCACTTGGAACGGGGGTAGAGGTTGGGGTTGACGTGGTACTTGTGTAGGAATAACAAACCACTACTGAAGGAACGATAAAAAAGTTTGCTGTTAACTTTCACCAGAGGCATACAGAAAATTTATTTTTATTGCAGGCCAATTTTAACGTTTTCACGTGATCAAAAGTTAAGAGGCCAATACTAGGTACTATGTCCACAGGTTAAAAAGTACTAACAGCTTTCCTAAAATTAACATCTAAACTGAGTTTTCCCCCCATTATTTAATAGCTTGTTTACAGGTGACTTTGACAATAGACAAAAATATAGTCACAAAGAAATCAACTTTAAAATTATACAAAGAAAAATGAAAATCATTTTTCATTCACAGCAATGGCATCCACAACAGGCAAATATTTGTATCTCCTTTTAGTACTATGTGTCAATGATGGGGTGATGGATAATTTTTCCCTAACCACGGCTATTTCCAATATATTATTAGGGAAGAAGCAACATAAATTTCTTTTATATAAATGAACTCACTAGTCATTTGCCATGCAAGTGATGCAAAAATAACTCAACTAAAATAACAACATCAAATTTCAACCTTTTTCATTCAACAAAGGGAAACAGTTCAATCAACAGTAAGACAGGTACTATTTACTGAGTAACCAGCACTATGCTAAATCCCCTTCATACATTATCACTAATTCTCCCACCATGACCACATTTTAAAGATGAGGATCCCAAAGCTCACAAATGCTAATTCATACTGAAGGTTACAGGGCTAGGAAATGGCAAAATACGATTCAAACACAGATTTGACTATTGGAAATCCTACATTCTTACCACTCTTCCGGAGAGCTAATAGATAGAAAAAATAAAAGTGGGAAGAGAGGAAAGATGCCTCTCCAACAACAGAGTAACAGTAACCCAAAGAAGGCAGTTTGTACACTGACAACTACTTCCTTACAGATTTAACTATCTTCAGCCTAAAGCAGCCTAGCATTCAAGAAGAGTGTCTCATTCCACTCCATGGCCATATCGTTAGCAATTGCTCAGAGTAATGTGACAAATGCAATGTTTTTAGGTCCACTGTCATGCAAAAACCTAAGCTACTAGAGTCAATTCAAATATGGTGGTCTCAGAATTCAAAGATTTTTAAAGCATGTGTCAATTAGTAGATTGAACTGTTAGAGTATTCTGGCACAACAGAGAAGCAAAAGTACAAAATGAACAGATTTATTGAGTTGAGGATGTGGAAAGGAGCACACAACCCATGGCGACTGGGTTGTCTCCTTTCACCAGAAACAGAGAGGCAGAGGGTTACAGGACCTCTGATTGAAGCGGCACATGGGGTGGGTACTGATGACATGTGAGGAACCGAGCTGAATTCTCTGTGCGTGCAAACAGGAAGGGGAATTCCAAATAGAGCTGAAGAAGAAGCAGGAAAAGTAACCACCACCATAACTGTACAGTAATTTATACTAGGGCAAGAACCTTTCATAAATAACAAAAAGGAATTTCTAAAATCTTTTCATCTGCCAGGTAATGAATTAAGCACAGTGTCTAAAGCAGAAAAGTAGTGTATACCACCAACTGCAGAAGACAAAAGTAGAGCTTTGTTTTCAGCAATTAAACATGTTATCTAATTCATTCTGTAATGGCATCCATTAAAGTCTTCTATCCACTTCTAATAAGAAATGGTGATGTCAAACTTCATTTCAAGAAGGGTTTTTGTAATTTTACCATTAACATAACACATTTTCAACAAAAAGAAGATTAATTTTGGCTGAGACTACAAATTTTCTAATTTGTAGCTTCAGCACAAGAGTTGCCCACTATGTTTCATAACCTTTAAATACTACAATAAAGATAAGATTAAAAAAAAAAAAGGATAACTTTTCTTGAAAATTCTGAGGAAAACACTCTCTAAATAGTATTTTCCTACTCACCTTCTTTGCTTCCTGTTTCTGCAGGCACGGGAAGAGATGCATTGTGCTGAATAGCTGCATTGGCAACAGCATTAGCTGTTACAGTGAATGCTGTTTGGGGAACTAGTCGGGGCATCAGTGGTACCAATCGACGACCTTCAATGGACCATTCTGAAGAGCTATTAGGTCCAGACATACTAAACAAAAGAGAAAACACTGCTACAAGGGCTCTCAATTACTAAAAACAAATCAAATATAACACTGAATTATAAAAAGGACCCTTAATGAACAAAGAGACTTCATTTTAAGCAAGCAAGATCAAAATTATGTATAACTAGAATTCAAGGAATGCCACAAACTTAAGTTCTTATATATTTCATTCTATAATCTGAATCTTACAATGAACATAATTGAAACTATGGTATATTTTTCTATGGCTTTTAAATAAATACTAGTTTTGGTTTCATTGTTTCACTAACAAAAACTAGCATTTTTAGTAAATTTTAGAATGAAATTTTGTAATTAAACCATGAAAGTAAAAAGCACTCATAATACTAACACTCAGGTCTTCTTTAAAAACTGAAAATGGAATTCACTGAACCTTTGCAAAATTATGTATCTGCCTGCATGGCCAGAGTTTCTAAAGGCTTTTAAATAAGGGAAATTGAGGCAGTAAACGAGGGGAACTAAGTATTAAAGAAGAAAGTTATATACATAACAGTATGTGCTACTAATGATTTTATTATACTACATTATATTACATATACAGTGCCTTCCTGTTAAAAATAGACCAGATCTAAGGACACTAAAAGAAAACTGCCACTATGTTATTTGTATTTATGTATACCACCATTCATTCTAAGAATAATTTGGGTTATTTAGACTTTCTCCTCAACAGACACTACTATGTTTCTCTACTCGACATTTCTTGAGTGAGTTTCATCCTGAGAATCTGACCAGAGGCTGAAATACCAAAAAAAAGAGTTGTCAGCTGGGTCTGTGGTGTACACCTATAATCCCAGAACTGAGGAGGGCAGAGGGAGAAAGATCGTAAGTTCAAATCCTCCCTCAGCAACTTAGTGAGAGCCTGTCTCAAAATAAAAAATAAAAATGGCTGGGGATGTAGTTCAGCATGAAGGCCCTCAGTTCAATTCCCAGTACCATAAAAAGAAAACTGTCACTTCTCTTGACTTGGCTCTATGAATGACCCAGACTAATCACTAGTACCTAAAATTAACATTCACCTAAAACTAATCAATTGCTTCATAAAATCAGAACTATTTCTATATATTTTTTGAAACCATGGATTCTACAATGTAACAGCATTTAAGAATCTATATACACTGATTCAGATTTAGAGGGACTACATAAAAGCCATGATTAGTGGGTAGCAGAATAATGATGATGGTAAGGGTAGAAATGAAAGTTAAAATCAGTTAAGAATTTACTATATGAGAGGCATTGTTCTAAACATTTTATGTGTATTAATTCATAGTTCCCTCAACAATCTTGTGAAATTGGGAGTCTTATTATTTCCATTTTATAGATGGTAAAATTGAGCCAGAAGACAGGCTAAATAGCTTTTCTAAGGTCCACAACTAATCAATGTCTCCTTCAACTAACATATTTCAGCTATTTGGCACATATGACAAAAACATAAAATGTTACAAATGAGGGGGTTTTTTTTGTTTTTTTTTTTTACAAATGAGTTTTATGTCTAAACTTTTGCCCTTGATTTGTATCAACTGGGAACTCAGTGAATGGAAGAAAAATTACAACTTAAGAATTTAAGTACAGTTCGAAAAGGAATTTCTAAAAGCTGATGAATTGAACTGAGTTACTGTGAAAAATCTATAAAGTCCTTCATTTTAACACAGTCCTACCTAAGGCAAAAAAAGAGGGCTCCCTGAAACCCCAATAACTGACAAATTTAAAAGTTCCATAGTATACTAGTTTGGAAACAAAGAGTGGTGTGAACAAGAAAAGTAGAAAAGAGCTATAGCTAACTGTTAAAGGAAAAAATTCTAAAAGCTGTTCAGGCCCAAGGATTTAGATAATGGCATAAGCACTTGCTGGCAAGCATGAAGTTGTGAGTTAGATCCCCGGTACCAAAAAATATATATATATATAAATATATATACACACACACTATTCAATATTTTTTGGCCTATTTTATTATGCTATCATTTTATTAGATCATTACTTATTAACTTGGTTGGTGTGAGTTTACCACACTAATAAAGTGATATCTACACTTACCTGGTGCATTGTTTAAATTGTAGCAGAAATTACAGAAGATTAATCATTTAAAGTCATGAATATAGGCTTTTATTAAAAAGAGAAGCTTGCAGTGTAAAAGACAACTGCAACTTTTTTAAAACTTTATAAATCTTCTGAATTTCCACTCATGCAAACATGCTTGAATTTTTTAAATGAGTGAAAAATGTTAGAATTAGATTAAAATTTCCTATCTGTTTAGTAATGAGTATAAATATGCATTAGTTACATAAGTCATCTCAACTAAATTTACAAACTAAACATCTTACTGCAGGGCTTCACTGAGATGCCTTAGTCTCAGTATCATACCTCTGTTTATACTAATATGGCAAAGGAGATAGAAACCTTGCTCTAGTCTGTATTTCAAGAAATTTAAAATGATATTAATTAAATCACCTTGGCTGTCACATCATTCTTTGGTGTGAAAGGAATGGTTACTCCTCACACAGAAACACAGTATCCTGGAATGTCTGACTAACGGTGAAAGGAAGGGTTAAAGAGCAGAAATTCCAGACAGCCACTTTATTCCGTCAACATGGGTAAGTACAGCCCAATTTAAAAATCTGAAGCTTTAACATTCTGTCATAAATCAAATCTGAATTATAGCATCAGCCTTAGTATGTGGCTTGGTGCCAAACAATAAATGTGTTATGCTTTAAGCCACAAGCAAGGCTCCTTTTTGATCTCAGACACCCCACTCCTTTTGTTCCCTTTCCTTTGTGTGCTCCATCTTGGCTTTCTCATCACTTTTCAACCACATTCCTTCAGGCCTTAACTGCTCTTTGGCGTGGGGGAGGGCAGGGAAAGGAGAAAGGGAATGCAGTCAGTTCACATGCATTCCTCTCACTGTTTTTTCAAACTCCGAGTATGAAGCCCTCCTATACATAATCTCTGGAACTAAGCTCTGTTGATATTTCTAATGGAAAAGCGCAATCACCCAGTCCTCTACTCACTAACTCTTGGGCTCATCAAGTAAATACAGTGTCTGGTAAAACTAAAACCACAATGTAAAATATTAAAACAGGAGTACAAAAAGACCTAAACAGCTTAAAATTATACACTGAAGTAAACTCTTTTCAAAAAATGAAATTCATATATTAAGGAAATCAAAATGAGAGAGAAAAAAAAAGAGGAAACACAGGCAGATAAAAGCCAACTCTCAATTATCCATGCTAATGGAGAGAGGAAGGAAAGGGAGAGGTTAACTAGATTAAAGAAACTCACATAATATCCAAAAATATTTTGGCAAATACTAGTAAATTCTTCACCAAATCTTTTCCAGGACAACTAACAAGTATTAAAATTACTAATTAAAATTTTCACCTCCTCTCCCTTCCCACCCTCTGACTAGAGGTACTCCCAAGCAGCAAAATGGCTAAAGGGTGGGAAGTATTAGGAAGGGGAGGAGGGGAAGAGAAGGAAAAGCAAGGGGCATGGTTAATTCATAAACGGAATAATGTGCCCCTGAATAATTGAGAGCTTTAATTTGGAAATAAATACAAGAAAAAGCCTGAAATAATAATAACCTATTTGCATACCTGTAACTTGGTCTTTCACCCAAATATAAGGATAAATTCATTCTTTAAAGGGGAAAAAAGGAAAAGGAGACTAAATAAATGTTATCCTTTAAGTATGACACTGATGCATCAACTTACAACTAGTTGTCCCGCAATATTGTTCTAACGTTTCTAAGATACTAATTTGTCTCTAAGTGCCTCTGAATGCAACTTACTGTTTACTATTTTATTATCTAGCACACAAATTTCCTATTACCAGTTCTCATATTAGGATTTAGACTCAGTTATCATTTTTAGAGAATCCCAACTCAAAAGTCTGGAGCAAATTAAAAAAGGAATACATTAGTACTTGAATGTTTCAACCATGTTAGCCTGACAAATAAATACTGTACTAAAATGTTCAATGGAAATTTTCCAATTTTTACAGTGCATACCTATCACTAAAGAATCTCAAAATTCTTGATAAACTGCTAAACTTTCAAACTATGATGTTAAAAAAAAAAGCACCCCATTTTATGTGTTAAGTAAAATGAGGGAGAATAAAGAACACAAAGCTAACAGGTCTTTTGTGGTAAATGCAAATTCTGCCAATTAGTTTAAATACATAGTTTAAGGTATCACATTAGGGAAATGCATTAAATTTTTCCTTTAGTTTAATTTCACATTAAAACAAAAATTAAAAATGAATAAATTATATTTTAACATATTTTTATGAAATATTTCTATCATCCTATATCAACACTTTAAGGATAATTTCTGTTCCTTTCTATTCTTAGGAGGCACTGTCTCCATCTATACTCAATACTTGATCCCTGCCCTCAGTCCACCCTCATCCCACCTGTCAAACAGTTGTAATGATTTCAAAACAATTTGATGAGTCCTTTGCCATTTTACTTTTACTTTTTAAAGTAAATTAAGATATATGCATGTCTTACAAGCAAAAAATATGTTAGGGTTTTTCTCTATCTCAAAATACACGAAATAGAGCTACATACAAAAAAGTTATGCCTAAAATAATATACATATCAAATACCCATTACAAAGAACCCCTAAGGGACTTTCAATTTGAGGAGGCACATTATTTTGTTACTTTACTTAAGTGAATCATCCGCTAAACCTTGGTGGTCTTTAGTTACACAGAAATTACCCTGTAACAGGATCTGACCTACGTATTTTAAGGTAGCCTAACAAAATGCAAAAACCATAACCAATTGAACAAACAATGACCACTATGGTCAAGATGCCTGAGCGGAAATACTGTTATTAAGATAAAGTACTCAGGAATCTGCTACACAACAGGAAGACTGTTTCAAAGCTATGTTATACTATGTCATAAAAAAATCAGGGGTGGTATGACTAATGGCTTACTTATGTGCAATTGTTGTTAACCGTTCATCGTTTACTGCTCTCCGAACTTCAGCACGGTGGCGTTCTGTTGAGATGCTATGAAAAAAAATAGCCATTATAGAACTCTGCCAAGCAGGCAGCTCTTTTCTATACTTTTATTAATGTTTAAGTCAACAGGCGGGGTGGGGGTGCTTTCTGAAAAGGCATAGTAGGAGCCTAAGATTGTCAAATGATTCAGTCTTAGAAAAAGACTCATACTGATTCTGTGTAACTGTAGAAAGAATTCGTTACAAATTAGAAATCACAAAAAAACAAACACAGCCTTATATCAAGGCATTACTTCCAAATCTCAGATATATCTGATCATACAAGATTAGCAGAGCTACCTGTTATCTAAAGAGACAAACTGATGTTCAATGGCCTCCTAATCATGGCTGCTGAGAAGACTTTAGCATTTAGAAGTCTTCTAAGATCTTTTCTAAAGCTTAAGAGTCTATAATTTTATGTTCAGTAAATATAATAAAGGAATGAAAGTAGCAAGACAATCTGTAACCTGTGGCTATGTGCTATGAAACTTAACACTGAGGTAATAATCTTTTATTATTCAACACTTCCAACTATGTATCTTATATTATGTATCTTATATCTTATATTACCAGTGGTAAAAATATGCTTATATTAATCTTGTACTTGACTAAACATGTAAAATATTAAACAGCTTTTTTTTAAAGGCTATACCGTTCTATTCACAAATAATAAAAGATCAGTCTTCCAACTGTATTCTTCACTATTTAAGTTGAACCTATACGATGAATTGAAACATTTAAGGGATTAAAAAGCAGAATTTATGAAAAAACATACAACAAAACAATAAGACTGAGAATTTAGATTAACTGCATCCTTACATTAGTATTATTAAATAACAGGAAGAACCTCATTCATCTTTTCACTTAAAAAATAATAGGACAGAGTATCTTTCAACATAAACGCCAAACAGTTAAAACGAAACACTTTCTGAGAAAGCTTAAAATGTCAGAATCAAGAAAAATGTGAAGGAATATCCTGCCTTTCCTCACAATATCCCACCCAGCTTTCTCAGAGTAGTTTTTGCTCTTTCTTCTTTTATTCAACCCAGCCTCATACTGCAGAATCAGCTTCTCCCTCACTCTTCACTTTTACTTTTTCAAATAAACTTTGCAAAACAAATGAAAGAAAGAAAAGTATTAAGGAAACTCTTCAACTGGAATTTTTTATTGGATCGAAATGCCACTCTAGTGCAGTTGAAGGAAGACTACACTTAACGCTATGACTACATAATTATCACCCAGTTACATGTTAAGGAATCTTCCTTGCATATCTCTCTTCCCTCCAACAAATGCCACCTTAGATCTTCATATTCATTTGCTGTCAGTTTTTCTTTCTTCCATTTTCATCAAACATACTTGCCTTTCCCAGGTGGACCAAAACTAAACTTGCCTTTAACCCTTTCTGATGGGATTACAGAACAAAGGATAAACTGCAAAATTTTCTGGAAAAGAGTACACAAATAGGATAGGATCTCTAAGCACCAACAATTTGAATACTTCTGTTCTTCAATTTAATCTGAGAGTGGAAAGTAATAAACACCCTCAAAATGAAATTTCTAGAATAACACCTCCCAAACTTATGACAATTTACCTAAGAACTTTTGAGAGTTCTCCAAGAAGATCCTTTTTTTCCTTGGTGAGATCTCCCTGTGCTCGAAGTGCAGTGATAACGCCAGCATATGCCTCCAATTCTAGAAGAAGAAAATTATTTTATCAAGGTAGGCCTTCAGTATTTTAACACTATGGCTATGCCTAAACTTCAGGGCTAAAAACTTAAAATCAGTCAAATGTAAGTTTTTTTTAAGTCCTTTCAAAAACTTTATCTAAGGATTTAAATGTGGCTTTTACAATTTGTATCATTTTGTTCTCTATTGTTTCACAGTTGTCCTGTATGTAACATGTTCAGGCAGAAAACAATCTAACAAATTTACAACAGGAATCCCCAAGTGATATAATGAGACTCATTAAAAAAAGTTTTTAGCATTACTGAAAAGCATTTTCACTGATCAACTTTCAAAATAATTCCATAGCCCTGCTTAAAAATTCAAACTACCACTTCCTTTCTGGCTAGGTGAGAGTACAGTGAGCACTGTGCAACATAGTTTCTCTTATAAAAGAAACTTAAAGTATTAGTAACTTCAAAAAGATACCTAATAGGAAACAAAGAGCCAGATCTTTTATAAATAGGAAGAGAATTAAAAGATTTGGAGGAATGGGGGATAGAGGAGGGAAGGGAGGGAAAGAAGACATATTAAGAGGTGTCCATGTACATGTACCAACTCCCCACAATGAATGTATTCATTATGTACTGCAAATATGTACATAATAAAAAATAAAAAATAAAAGTTAAAGGAAAAAGAAAATTTTTGTTTGTTTTTTGAGACAACGACTCACTATGTAGCCCAGGGTGGCCTTGGAACTTACAGCAAGCCTTCTGGCTCAGCCTTTAAAAAAGAAAATCTTTAAAAAATAAAATAAAATGCGTCTTTGCAATGGCCACAATAAGAAAAAAGTCTGGCTCCATCACTGCTACTTACTAATTGGGCCATCTCAGACAAATCCTTTCTTATTTGTGAACCCATTTCATTATTTAAAAAGAACACTCTAGGTACTTTCCAGATCTAAGATCCTCTATAGCTACAAAACTATCATCAAAATGACTAATTAGAAAACATGAAATGTTCTTAAAGCAACTAGGTTATTATTTAGTGAATACCAAACCAGAGAGCTTTTTTTTGGTACTGGTGATTGAACTCACAACCGCAAGCTTGCCAGGCAGGCGTTTATGCAACTGAGCTAAATCTCAGGCCCCAGACAGCTTTATTTACTCTTTCATAGAAATAGCCATTACAAATCTATCAATCCCTCTTATTGGTTAAAATATAAAACTACAAGTCTTCAACAGCCCCAAGTAAAACATACATGCATACCATTGTAGCTTGTGTACTTCTCTCCCACAGACTAGAGTGCCATGTGATGTGCTTTGGGCCAATATTGGAAATAATACTTGCTAAAACAATATTGGAAACAATACTTGCTAAAAATGAGAACTTGGGGCCTTGCTCTCTTAGAGATACCAAGCTCCAAAGCAGCCCAGAATGAAAGGCCACATGAAGAGAGAGGTCCAGTCATCTCGGCTAAACTACCAACTGCACAAAGAGAGATAAAAGAGATCTCAGACAATACCAACAACTTATAGAATAGAAAGAAATGATGTACAGATGCTTTAAGTCATTAATACTCTGAAACAAGTATATATAAATAAATAGAATGGTAAGGAATATATATTCAGACTAGATTATCTTCATAATCAAGGTGCCACAACAATTTGCTACTTGCCAGTGCCTGACATAAAACATAATATAAGCTAAATAAATGCATGACTGCAGACTAGGTATATTACCAGTAACACACTAGTAGTCTCATTTAGTTAACATTATTCACAAGTCTGTCAAAAGGAAGCTTTATATAGAACAGTGGTCCAGTGGTCCAACGATATTAAATAGAAATGGCTGATCCAAATGAATTAACCAAAGTGTACACTCTGTGTGTTCAACCTGTACTGGATACTATGTTGACATTTCCTGGAATTTCTCCTGAAAGACAAGCTCTGCTGTTCTAGACAGTAAAGGAAATACTTAATTCTAGGAGACATGAAGGAAAAACTTAATTTCAGGAAACATTATTTCTGCTTTTAACAGGCCCAGAGTAGAGAAAGGGACTGAAAATAACCAAGTAAAAATTAAGTATACTCTAAATATTTATAAATATTTTATTCAACAAATCAATATTGAGTCCTATTACATACATGCTATATAGGGTGTTAGGTCATGCTGTAAAGAAGTTAACTGTAAAATACAGCTACTATGTAATAAATCCTCAAGAAATTATAATAAAGCTTACTTACAGCAGTAAATGAACAGCAGTAAATGAACAGAGGAGAAAGTTATCATCTAACCTGGAAACAAGCTTTAATTAGAAAAAGAAAAAAATATCTATGCTCCAGGCAAGAAGGGAAAGGAAGGCAAATGTGGAAAAGGAGAGTAAAAGAGTAACAGAGCAGATAGTGTTTCTTATTATTTCAGTAACTTCCAGTTACAGTGACTACATTTGAGAATTTGATATTAAGGGAAGCAAAATTATGTATAGTTAATAATAGAAATCAAACTATTCATAGAATATTACTACTATTACCATTACTATTACAGTACTACTACAAAGTACCACAGAAATATTTGTAGAAACACAAGTTGACCATTTTTATGGGTATCTTCAAATCTTGATTGTTTTCAGTACTGAGGATCAAACCAAGAAGCATTCTACCACTGAACTACATTTCAGCTCTACTTTTTTTTTGAGACAGGGCCCAGGAGAGATTCAAACTTGCAATCCTCTTGATTCAGTCTCCCAAGTGCTGGGATTGCAGGTATGAGCCATTATGCCCACTAGCTTCATAATGTGTCTTAAAGTTGGTTAAATTTTTGGTGTCCTTTTTGGTGCCATTCCACTGTAATGTTAACTCCTATAACACACAACTATCATGAATTAAGTACACGCAAACACCTCAGAAAACCAAAAGATTTAGCTGTGCATGCTGTCATGCACCTGTAATCCAAGCATGCCAGGAGACTGAAGCAAGAATGCAAGTTTGAGCTAAGCCTGAGTAACTTAGCAAGAACTTACCTAAAAAAAAAAAAAAAAAAAGAATGGAGAACTTAGTACAAAGGACCTGGGTTCAATCCCCAGTACCACAAGAAAGCAAGAAACCAGGGAAAGAAGGAAAGTGGAAAGAAGAAAGGAGAAAGAAAATTTTAAATTTACCAAGTCTTTTTTTTTTTGCCAAACTATTTTTATAAAACCCTCAACTCATTCCATTTAAACAAATCGTCCATTGAATTCTATTACAGTACATAAAACCCTACATGGCTAGAGTTATATAGTTAAAAGTAATCATAAAAATTGGGCAAGGCCTGTGCTAATGGTTTCTATCTAGCTGTCCCCCAAAGTCTCAGGTGCTCATAGCCAGGGCTTTTGAAAGCTAATTGAATCATATGAGCAATACAGCAAAATGTGTTAAAAAGTGGAACCTGATCAGAAAAGGAAAGCCACTGGCAGAATGACCTGGAAGAGCATAGCTCCCTCCTCTGTTCTCCTCTGTCTCTCTTCTTTCTGACCACCATGAAGTGAGCAGCCTTCCTCCACTCAGGCCCTTCCACCAAACTTTGAGACATGCAAGAACTGAAACTTCTGAAACAAGAGACAAAAGAAACTTCTCCTTATTTAAGTTATGATGTCAGGTATTTTATCCCAGGGATAAAGAAATTAACTAAGACACACTGTAACCTCTGCACTCTGAGAGGCTCAGGCAGGAAGATAACAAGTACAAGTCAAGCCTGGGCAACTTAGGGCTAACTAGACCAAAACTCAAAACAGGCTGGGGATGCAAATCTGGACCAAGACCCTGGGTTCAAGGCAGGAGAGGATGGGGGCAGAACTGACAGGTCTTTATCAGTGGTACATTCAGTATATCATAAAGAATCTCTGTCCCAAAGTCTTTATAATTAAGTAAAATCTTTTTAGCATTTTACATTAACATAATTTATAAGTATGTTTAAAATAACAAAGCTAATTCTTAAATACATTGTCCTCTCTAAATTTAGGATCTGGAGCTAGTACTTGAAGGCAATTCAAGGTTCATTGTTATGATGATGAGCAAACAAGTGCAAAGGAAGTCTTCCAGCTAAACACTATCAAGGGCTGAAAGTGTCAATGACATTACCAGGTAGGATACATGTTTTCTTTTGTACAGAAGGAGCTCTCCAGCAGCATTACTCACACAGCTCTTACTAAAATTAGGAATAAATTTAGCATTATTTATTTTTCAGTTTTATTTGCATTTGTTTCAAGGTTAACTTTACTGTTGCTCCCCTAACTTTTTGTTCATCTTTTACACCTTTTTCTTCTGTGCAGTCTTCTCTTCTGGTTTAGGAATAGTTTGCTCCTTTTCAAGAAGCAGGGAAAAGCTCACATATGGGTAATCTTACTCCAAATTCTGTAAGTATCAGAGCATGTCTTGGGTGGCTTGTTCACTTGGTGTGTTGGATGAGACTATACATCTAAACTCAAAAATTTAGCATTCTGCATTAAGCATGTGTAACAATTATTCAGTATTCCTTCTGGGCCACTAAACCCATGTCCAGCTCCACTGTTCTTCCTAGGCATACTTACTAACTCCCCATTGTAACACAATGGTACACATTGCTTCTGCAAAGTGACATCTTTTTAATAGTTAGTAGTTTTTCAGATATGCATAGCCCTGGGGAGCTTCAGGAGTATTCTTTCTTTTACTGAGTACAAAGATGTTAGTCTCTTGATTTGCATAATTTTTGTGGGGTTTTCTGGGTTAATACCATACCATTCTCATTTAACACTTCATCCACTTATAAACCATACCATTACCATTTATCATTTCAGCCACTTATGGGGAAAAAAGGGGATTAATTTGGGCTTAAATATTATCTTTTTCGGAGGCAGGGGTACCAGGGATAAAACACACCACCTCATGCTTGCTAGACAGGCAATGTGTTGCTGAGCTACATCCCTAACCCTATTTTTATTTTTAAACATAATCTCTTGATTCAAAGTCTCCAAAACCCAGAAACCCCAATTCTAGCTATTGCCTTTGTGATCTATTCCTCTGCAATTAGTTCAGCTATAAAATAAGTGAGTCTAATTTTACAAATGACAGTAAGTTATATTAACTGCATGAGCGTGTAAAAAACTTTTCAAATTAATGTTGTTTGTATATAAGATTAAAAAATAGATGGATGATAAACCCCTCCCATGAAAAACATGTCTCCTCAACTTGCTAAAACAACAATGCTAAATTCAACTCCAGTGAGGCGTATCTGTAATCCTAGCTGCTTAGCAGAAGCCCAAATTTGAGCCTAGTCTGGGCAACCTAGAAAGACCTTGTCTCAAAATAAAAAATGAAAAAAAGGACTGGGGATACAGCTCAATAGTAGAGTATGCCTCAGTTCTATCCCAAAAAACTGTAAAAATAGACAAACAAACAATGCTAAGAACAGGTTTGAAATCCTCATAGTGTCATGAGGGGAACTATAAAAGGGGAAAAAATATTAGCAGGCTTGAGTAGCCCTAATTCTATTTATCTACATATAGGAATTCCCAAAAAAGATTTCCTCTGAAGCATTTTGTAGTTCTTTAAATAATACAGTCTAAAAGCCAGGCATCATGGTAGGCCTTTTATCTAAATAATTCACTGCTAAAACATTTATTGCTCATTTTCAAATTATTTTTTTTCTTTTATTTCATCCATTGTGTAACCCGAAGCTCAGCAGTAAATAAAAGCTCCTAATAGTCAAAGACAGCATTTCTCAATACAGATTTTCATTTCAACTATATGACATGGAAAATAATTTGAGTAACTCCTCTCAAATTTCTTTGAGATGGCACATAACTTAATACCATTCCAGATGCAAGACAAAGTTGGTTCATTACATACAACAGATGCCTTGACATTGGGGCTTAATTCTCTCCCTAAAACACTTAAGAAAGGCTGCTATAAAAGATGCACATTAAGCTGTTAATTAATAAGCATAAAGTATGTTTTATTATTAATAGTAAAACATAATTGGGGAAGTAGGTACAGCTCATATTAACTTAGAATTCAGAAGTATTTGTCATTCATACATACATTCAAGATGGTTAAATGTATGCTGAAGTGAGACAGAAAATCGTTCAGATACTGACTATAGTGTCAGCATTACCTCAGGTCTTAAACTTCATCTGTAAAATGGAGGCAAAAAATAATAATAATAAGCCTATCTTTTAGGTTTGAGTGAAGGCTAAGTGAAATGCTAAATATAAGAGATTCAAAATAGCAAAGTTACTGTCAGTGAGTCTTAGCTACTTGTATTATGATGATCCATGCACCTCATTTACAAGTCACTACAACAGGCACTGGAGAAACAACAGTGAGAATGATTGTACTATATGTCCAAAGATTTTCTAATACAACGTAAGATGACATTCAGGCACACAACTATACCCCAAACAAGAAAACGATCAAAGACCAAAACCATTAAAAATTAAAAATCATACCCAATTTTCGAAGAATCCTTTTGCATTCATCCCTGCTGAGATCCAAAAGGGTTGGCCACACAACAGGCATTGCTGCTTATATTTGGTAGCCCCAAAGAGCTTGTCTTCCCTACCAGAAGAAAAAACAACCAATTTACCAGAGTACTTTAAGAAGCCACTCACCTGGAGATCCACCCACAGGCTAAAAAGTGAAACCAATAAGATAGCTCAGATCATTTTTCATCACCATATTTTGCAACTTCTGGCAAAGAATTAAACCACCATTTGAGAATTTACTATACCAGTCAGTAGCAGTGGAAAGAGTCCAGGCTTTAGGGTCAGGCAACCTCTAGGTTCTAGTTTCAGCTTTTCACTGCTACTAATATGATCCTGGCAAAACTAGATATTCTAAACCGGTTTTATGCGTGTATTTAAATCAAGGTATTACCACTCAGTTTGGCATGTGTATTCATAAACAACACATGCCGTTTTTCCATAGTGACTGGTATGCAATTTAATAAATACAAACCTATATAAGCTTGGGCAAGTGACTTCTGTCAGTTTTCTCACTTAACCCAAACATTATTTGGGCTAATGGAATTCAGTAATAAAGAATGCTCTTCTCAAGTCTTACCAATGAAATATTAATTTAGACTTAGTAATCATTAAACTACTACTATTTAGCAAAAGTTTAAATGCCAAGAACTTCGTATTGGTAAACCGCCTTGGTCTACAGAACAAAAGGCGCTCAGGACTTTAACAATATCTGCTATGCATATAGCAAACCCTCAGCAAACATTTGTTAAATGGATAAATGAATGGTTGGCGGGAGAAAGTAAAATGAATGAGTAAGTGAGTTCACTGTCTAGGATAGAAATCACTGAGCCGAAATAACTACTATATCCGGTTCCAATGACTGGGCTCTAACTCCAACTCTACGCCCCCAGTTCAATCCCCTCCCCCTACTTTTCATTACACTCTCAGTTTAGCATCAACTGAGTGCTAATAGAACTGGACTGCGCGCCACAGCTGGCACGATGACATAAAGTAAAGGGGTGGGGAGGAGGAAAAAGGGGCAGAGCCAGAGAAATCCGCTCCCTCCACAAGCTTGTCCCCGCCTCCCGATAGGATTTTGGAGGCGGCTCCACCGCCAGAATCCAGCCCCACGTCACGGCATCCCAACGCGTCCCGGCCAGGGGGACCCTACCCACGGCTGCCTCGCGTCCGAAACGTGGGAAATAGGGGCCCCTGCCGGTTGGGACACCAGGATCTCGTGGAATCCTTCCCCAGCTCAAGTGTCAAGGAAACAAGCCCGCCCCGCCCCCTCTCCCAACACGCACTCGCCCGCGGCACCAGAGCGACCAGCCCAGGCTCTTAGTCCGCGCCACTCAGCGCCGATCCCAGTACCAAGCCCGCGACCCAGCCCCTCTGGCCGGCAGCCGGTGCCAGGAGCCCCCGGCAGGAATCTGTGCTCGCTCCCTCCCCAGCGAGAAGGACAACAGAGAGGAGTTGACGCGCGGACAGCCAGTCGGACAGCCAGAACTCACTGAGAGCTCCTAGAGCTGGACCCCCGGCATCCTAGCACCTGCCCTGCCAGAGTCCCCCTCAGGCCACCTCCGGGAGCCCCACGATACCGTTAGGAAACAACGGAGGATGGGGCTGGGCGCCCCAACCTGGGCTCCAAGTGCCCGGCCCAGGGCTCCTCTATGCTGGGTGTCTGCCAGTTTCTCATAGGACGCGCCTGAGAGTCACCCACCTGCCCGGCTTTTCGGGGCTCATCTAAAAGGCTCCTCCGCCAAGACTAGGGGACACCAGGAATAGGGTTTGTTTGCTGTGCCTCAGAAGGGGCAAGATGGCGACAAGTACCAGAGCGCAGGCGCAGGCGCGCGTTGATAATCGGGAAGTGTAGTTCGCCTTTCCCGCCTTTCGAACGCCTGACACCAAAGGCCCTCCATTCATCCTGTACTTTTCTTACGCCTTTTAAAAGGAAAGGTCCGATATCGCATGGGGCTGCTAGGAGTTGTAGTCCAACGCAAACCGTCGTTTTTGACTGCAGGGTTGCCGTCGCACGCGCAAGGAAAGCTGGGATTGTAGTTCCTTTGGCTTCTCCAGCATACTCTCTGCTCTCTGGCTTCGCGCGCCTCTCCTCGCTGCCTTGTCCCGGCCAATCGGCGGTGCTCTCTGCTACGCGTGCCGTCTCACGTAGCGGCCAAAATGGCGCCTGTACTTACAGTTTGCATTTCGCGGCGACCTTTATTCCAGTGAGGCTAGGGATTAAAAAAAAAATTCCAGCTTCGCATTGAAGCGAGGTTACGATTAAGGAACGGATTCTTCAGAATTGAAGCGGCCATTAGCTGCCATCCGCAGCCACTCAAACGATAGCTGGAAGAGAAATAATCCACACCCCGAGAATTGACAGTGGAGTTATCCATACCTGTTCACAGGGTTACGAAGTTTCAAGTGGAAAAAGAGCCTGAGCGTTCTCAATTTCAGATTCCTGCACATTCAAAGTGCGAATGATAGTGGTATCTTGTGCTATTTATTTGAGGCACAACGAGGTGGTAGGCTCACCCTCACTCAGCCTTTGTTCTTACTTAATTACACAGTGTTGGGAAGGTTTTGGCGCTCATAGGAAGGGGCCCTATGTGTTAAGATTCCCAAGCCAGTGCCTAATATTGCTGAAGATTTCATCAAATTTTGTATTTGTCCTCTCTCCAAATTTTGTCCTTTTAATTAGTAATTCTCGAGCCAGAAAAGGTTTTGTTGTTCATTCTGCCATTACCAGAATAGTTTCCTCCTTGAGACCTTGGTTACTATCCCTGGCCCCTCAAAGAAAAGAAAAATACTACCCTGTTAAGGAATAATATACCCTGTAGAGATGTTGTGATATACACCTTAAAAAAAAAAAAAAGTTATTTGTAAATCAGGAACTACTATATAAATCAGTGATACCATTCATGTTCTTGACTCAAGGTATAGGTTAAGAAGATAAAATAATTGTATTTAAATTTCTTGCCTTCCCTCCCTGATCTTCCAGTGGATCCTATTTTGAGGTGAGTTGCCTCAGAACTTGATAAAATAGCAAATGAAATCTTAATAGAAGGTTTTGTAATAGCATACATTCTTTAATTTGAGCTTTGCACTATCTTTATGAGCCATGTTTAACATCCCCCCTATTATAAAAGAAAAACACAGATGTTCAGTAACTCACCAAGTTTCATATAGCTAGGAATTGATAGTTGTGTTCTGTAACACCCAGTATTCTGACCTTCAAATGTCCTTTACAAGGAATGTCAGAATGACAAATAATAGAGTAGAAGTGAAAAGACAGGGTTTATAAAAACTGACTCCTACCATAAGAAGTATGATGAATTACTGTAGTTAATCTTGTATTTACTATATGCCAAGTACTGTTTTAAGCATTTAACATAATAACTCAACCCTTAAAACAACTTTATGAGGTAGAAACTGTTATTATACCTAATTACAAATCAGGCAACTGAGGCAAAGGAAGTTTAATAGCTTGCCTACGATCACACATAAGTAAATAGATACAGGCAGTTTCTGAATTTAAGAAGTTTGGCTCCAGAATCTATGCTGTAGACCAGTGATTTTCAAACTTCATTGTTCCATAGGAACACTTGAGAATCCTGTTAAAATGCAAATTTTGATTATGTATGTTTAGGATAAGACTTAGATCTGTACTTTTAATAAGCTTTTAAGTGATGGTGGTGCTTTTCTCCTAACCTTATTTTTGTTTTTTGCTTTTGCAGCCACAAACTACCTTCCGCATGCTGTCTCTGACTGCTTCCTAGCCCCAAATATTCTTAATACTGTATTCTTTTCTCTATGCATCAGACTCAGACTACTCTTAAGCATGCCATACCTCTATTCCATTCCCTTTCTTCCCCTATGCCACATATTGTACACCTTGTTACAGAGTTCAAATTACTTACTGTATAATCAGTTGTTTCAAAATTTGTCACTAGACCATGAGCTCTTTAAAGAGAGAGACTAATCAGGTGTGTTCACATTAAAATAGCTAAGACTTAGGCAGAGCTTTCACTATTCCAACTGCAGTTGCATACATTGGATTCCCCCCTACAATAATCGTATATTAGCCTCATTTTATGAATGAAGAAACTAAGGCAGAGAAAAGAAAGAGTTTGCCCAAGATAACAGCCTAAGTAGTAAAACCCATAATTTCAAATGAACTCACTTTGGCTCCAGGAAATGTGAGACAAAAGTCACGCCACACTTAACTTCCAAAAGAGAAAAGCTAGTTTTATTATTCTACTAAATGTAAATGATTATCCTCTACTCTGAGAAAGTAAATGGGAATATGCTGCCTGTCTAAATGTTATTCCTTGATTAACTAAATACCTTAGTCTTAAATTTCTTCAAAATGCATATTCTCTACCATTCTTATATTATGTGGCTATATTGGAAAAGTAGAGTTCATCGTCATCATGAAAGTATCTGTTAAGCTACCATGATATTACATAAGCAAATTGAAATGGATAAGACCTTAGGGTCTATTACTTTACACTACTAAAACCAAGATACTGAAATAATCAAGTGATTTATATGGAAATTTCATAGCAGAATTGGGGTTAGTTTTTTTTCAAATGCATTTTATTTCAAAGAGAAAAAAATAAAATTTCAAAGCACAACAACTGGGACAACAACGGTACATACATTGCACATTGCTATCTCCAAATTAGTTACCCAGAGCACAAGACATCTGCATTAAATTGTCCAAACAGTACCAGTGCAAATCTTTCTCTTCAATGAACTCAGAGAAATGAGTAGTATTCTTTGAGTTTCTCACTAATGAGACAACACAGTATTTATACTTGCATGTCTGATTTATTTAACTTATTTTTTCAAACGCATTTCATTTCAAAGAGACACAAAAAGACAAAACAAAACAAAATTTCAAATCACACCAATCAAGCCAACAGTGGTACATTGCATTACACATTGTCATTCCCAAATCATTCACCTGAAACACAAGACATCTGCATTCAATTATCCAAACACTACCAGCACAAATCTTTCTCTTCAGTGTCTTCAAGAGAAATCAGTAGAATAACTCTATTAACTATTTTTGTATCTATATATATATAGACCTATATATACATTATATCTTTCAGCTTCTCACATTAGTGAGACAACACTATGTTTATACATATGTGTCTGACTTATTTCAGTTGTGAGTCTGGTCTCCAGTTGCATCCATTCACATATAAACATCTAAAGTTTATCCTTCTTTATGGCTGAGTAGTACTCCATTGTATAAAGGTATCTCATCTTTTTTTTATCCATTCCTCAGTTAATGGGCATTTCGGTTGTTGTCAACATCTAGCCATTACAAATTGTGCTGCTATGAACATGGATGTGCACATATTGCATTTTTAATTCTTCTGGGAAGATACCCAAAAGGAAAATAAATGGGACCTTCAATTCTAGCTTTTTGAGATATCTCCACACTGAGTTCCAAAGTACCTATACTAGTCTACACAACTACCAACAGTAGTTTTCTCCACAGCCTCTCTAGTTTTTGTTATTGGTTGCTTTCTTGATAATAGTCATTCTTTCTGTAAGGAGGTGGAATATCAATTGCATTTCTCGAATAATCAGTGATGTAGAAAGTTTTTCCATATATGTATTTGCTGTTTTATTTCTTCATCTGAGAAATGTGTTTGATTACAGATGTCAGTTTTTGCATTAGGTTTTTTAATCTGGGAGAAATGATTTTTTAAAGTTCTTTATATGTTCTTCATAGTAATCTTTTATCTGAATAGCTGGCAAACATTTTTTTCTCACATTGTGGGTTGTCTCTTCACTGTTAGTGGTTTCTCTTGCTGTGAAAAAGCTTTCTGATAAGTTGAGGTCCGGTTGTTAATTCTTTGTGACAGTTCCTGTGCAATCTGAGTTTTGTTCATGAAGTATTTGCCTGCCCCAATATCTTCAACAGTTTTACTTACTGTATCTTCCAGCAGATTTGTTAGATCTTTGATGCATGGAATCTCATTTAGTGAATAGTGAAGGATATGGGTCCAACTTTAATCTTCATCATATGCAAAGCCAGTTTTTCCAGCACCATTTATTAGAGAGGCTGTCTTTCTTCCAGTGAATATGTTTGGCACCTTTGTCAAAAATAAGGTGGCTTAGTGTGTCTGAAGTTGTTTCTACATCTAATCTGTTTCATTGATCTTTGGGGTTTTTGTTTTGTTTTTTTGGTTTTTGGAGGGGGGTTTGGTTTTTGGTTTTGTGGGAGATTTTTTTTGGCCAGTACCACCCTTTTTTATCACAGTAGCTTTATAATATAATTTCAAGTTAGAGATTGTAATGTCCCCTGCCTTGCCTTTGTTGCCCAGGATTGCCTATGCTAGTCTAGGTCTCTTCCAGTTTCAGCTGGATTTTAGGACTTTTCTCTAATTCAGTGAGATGTTATTGGAATTTTATTTGGCACTGCGCTGAATCTGTGTAACAGTTCTGAAATTATGGCCATTTTCACTATATTGATTCTTCCTGCCCAAGAGCACAAGATATATCTCCATCTTCTAATATCCTCCTCAATGTCCCTTTTCAGAGTACTGTATTTTTCAATGTAGACATTTGTTACTTCCTTTGTTAGACTGATGCCTAGGTATTTCATTTTTGGGCATGCTATTGTGAAAGATGTTGGTTCCCTGATTTTTTTCTCAGTGAGTTTGTTCCTGTACAGGAAGGCTGTTGATTTTTGAGTGTTGGCTTTGTATCCACCTACACTGCTGAATTTGTGTATTAAATCTACCAATTTTAGTGGTGTTTTGGGGGTCTTTTATGTAGGATATCATGTCATCTGCAAAAAAAAAGGTAGTTTAACTTCTTTCTTTCCTATCTTTATTCCTTTTATTTCTTCC